TTTCGTTTTTAAAAATGTCAAATTGTTTAATTTCACTGCATATCTCCTCGATTATCAAATATTTAGTTTTTAAACAATATTTCTATTGATTTGCCATTAACAAAAAAAAAATTGGAATTATTTAAATAAAAAAAAAAAATAAATAATGCCGGGATCGAACCCGGGCCATTGGCGTGGTAGGCAAGCACGTTACCATTAAGACAACGCGCTCATTCTGAAATAATAATTTCATTAGTGGTATATATTCAATCGATTAAATAATTTTTTCCATTGAAATTCCACAAGATGTGGCTTACCCCTTCCGCTCGTTCTTCAGCGGGTTAAATTTCAATTAAACAAATAAAAAATGAAAACTATTGATGCTGCTGGGGTCACAGAAACCCCCAGAACTCAGCCTCTTCTTCAATCAGGTAGTTCAGTCAGTAGGATCAAGGACAATCGGTAAAAATAATATTTTCTTCAATTAACAATAATTTAAATAAATAAAGGAAGCATTGGATTTGATAAATTCAACGAGAAAATCATTGAAAATTCAGCGGATAAGGCAGTAATAATGTTATTCAACTCTAAAGTATTGTACATGATGGTATATATAATTCAAATTCTTTGTCTCCAGTGGTGTTGATCTCATTTTGTTTTCCCGCGAGAAAAGTTTTCGCGTCGCGTTTTGCCAGCCAATCTGGAAGTGGTGCATCCCAATCCTCCGGGGGTGCTTGTCTCTTCGTCCAGACGTCATTTGCATAATGACCTTTCAATCTGTTTAATCTCCGGACTTTTTCACTGGCCACGAGATCCTCCTGTTCGTAATTGTTACAGCAATAAATAAAATGTCGATGAAAAACAAATAATAATTTAAACAATTCCCTCACAGCTTCAATTAAAATGAAAAAATACATAAAACCTTACATAAGACTGTTGATCCCCGGATTTCTTCCACTGGATGCATTTCTCGTAGTCGACTTTCCACTGGGTGCAATCGGCGACCTCCCCCTCGACGAAGATCTGATTGAACTTCCCCCTGATGGAATTGCAGACTCTGTACTCCGAATAATACATATCACAGGGTCTCAGCTAAAATCAAAAACCAAAATTTAACCTCCGAAAATCGAAAAAAACCTCTTCACCACGTACCATCCACTCGTGCGGCCAAATCTTCTCCTCAGGTTCGTCATTTTTCTGATTACCCTCGGGTCCCGTATTTTCTCCAGGTGTTTCGCTCATTTTTTTATTTATTTCTCTATTATTTATTTATTTTATAGTCTCACAGACAGGCCACAGACACTCGTGCAAACTCCCACTCCCAAAGAGCTGACGTTTCGGTTGAAATCTTGTCGAGGTGCAATGACAGTGTTTTTATCATCCTCTGCTCGTCCCCTGGAGTGATTTTTCACGATTGCAACAAGTCAAGATCTCAACAATAAAGTGAGCAACAATTGCAAATCGATTTCGAAGGTGATTATTGAATTTTCCCTCGAGTTTCAATCGATTCCTTTTTTTTCAGGTTAGATATGAAATTTCAGGATGACTCCACTACTTCTGGTGTTGCTCGTCTGCCTAGTCATCTACACCAGCTTCACCTGGTAACAATCAGGATTCATCAAGAATCATAATTACCTCCGAATTCTTCAATTGAATTTTTTTTTTAAGGATCCTTCCTCGAGGTGTTGCCTGGCTGGTGAAACGTAAATACAAGATTCACCTCCGAGTGGGTCACATTTCCCTTCCCTACTTCATCCTGAGGGACGTGATAATCTCGAAGAATGGATTTACAATCGAGATCGAGGAGATAACAGTGCGGAGTAGTTTATTCAGCAGCGATGTGGCTAAACTCCTGGCAGTGATGATGCATGATGTGAGAATTAACAAGGATGTGCCGGTCTGTCCCACCAGGATGAACCAGGTGAAGAGCAATCCAATGGACTTCAGGAACAGGAAGGTGCCACCGATGATAATAACTTTTGTCCAGTTCATGGCTGTTCACATTGAGAATCTCAATCTACTTGCCCTTGGGGATGGCTGGCTCGCCAATGGCAGTGCTGAGAGTCTCAGTCTTGATGGGAGTGTCGTCCACGGGGCCAGGACACTCCTGGTGGGGGCAACAGTCGCTGGAGGGGCTATGAAACTCCTCAGGCATGCCTCGGACGCCTGTCTCTCACAGGTGATTTTTTTTTCACAATATTATCCCCTGGTGATCAATAAATTCATTCATTCATCATTTATTTATCCATTCATTAATGATTGTTGTAAATTTATTGAAAGGTGAGCTTTGCTGGGAACGTCGAGGCGACAATTCAGGCCCAGGGTGAACTCACCGTCGAGGTGAGACATTTTTTCACCTTTTTATCCTTTTCTGCACTTGCTCAGGGCTTATCTATGCACTGGATGTTGGAAGCATGATGATTTTTTTTTTTTTTTGGAATCGTGTTCTTGTAGAAGTTGAATGTGGGAGTTACACAGTGCGAGGGCTCTGGAGGTCTAGCCCTTGTTCAATTTGTTAGGGACAGGAAGTCAGGGGGATCACCTCGCGAGGACGACCTCCAGGATGGCAGCTCTCAGGAGATCCTGGCCAGGCTAACACCAATTATTCCTAAGGTAACCTGGAGACTATTCCTGTAGATTATTTTCGTTACTGCACTGGTAGGAAAATTCTAAAACTATTTTCATAGTGAAGATCATTTTTACTTGGAGAAAATTTTTCAGAATTCGCGATTTCTCAGGGATTTTCACTATTTGATTTTTCATTATTCCAGTAGTCAGGGTAAATCAATGGTTTCTCTCGATTGTTCAGGATTTATCAATGAAGATCGGAAGTTCGTCGATAATAGTGGGACGAGAGGACCCAGTGCTCACAGGTCTGGAAGGTACAATGAAGAATCTCCTGGTGACGATGAGATTTTCTCCGGATTCCGGGCAGACGTCGTTGTCACTCAACCTGGAGGGTCTGTCAGTTCGAGGAAAGCTGCCAGTCCTGTCCCTGCACTCTCTCTCGATCTCTTCAAAACTCAGGGACAATACCCTGACGATAGACACACGCCTGGCGACTCTCTCCCTGACATACGACCATCGAGACTGGGAGTCCTTTCTATCAGGCCAGCCCCCAGGGATTCCAACATCGAGGGTCTCGTCACCCTCGAGAATTCCCTGGATCAAAAAAATCAAGACTACAACAGACCTCCAGGACGGTTCACTGGTGGTTCGCCTGCCAGAGGTGCCAGAGGCCTCCCTCGGGGTCTTCCACATAAACCTGGAGCTGAATCGCCTAGGCACCGATCCCCAGGACTGGACGACAAAACTCCTGATAGAATCCCTGCGATGCACTCTCAATGGTCAAGATCCTGGCATCCCCAAGACCACTCATCACTGGGGTAATCCATTGTCCGTTGGAGTTTTAGTTGCCACAACCCACAAAAATGCCGTTGGCATTGCAATGGACGCCCTGAGGGCTGAGTGGAGTCTCGAGCTCGGGGAATTTATCCAGCAGTCCCTCAGGTACATTAACGATCACTGGAAACAACCAGCCACCACCCTGGAGCAATCACCCAAGGACAAAGAGAGAATTCTCCAACTCAAGATCAAAGTATCCAACTGCAATATCTTTCTCATCTCCGAGAGTGGCCTCTCGGTGATGGTACGTCTTGACTTTGCCAATATCGAGCACAACGTCAAGGAGAGATTCGTCGGTGTTGCAGAGGGTGTATCCGCCATCACTCTCAATCGTAATGAACCTACCGTCTGCGAACACGCTGAGCACCTGAAAGAGCCATTTCTCTCCATCAGAAAGTGCAAGGGTGCTGTCACCTCAGAGGCAATCAACGTCAGTGTCAATGCACTCAGTCTCGTCTGGAGTCCCAATCTCCATCTTCGGATTATGCAGCTCTGCAGGGAGTCCTCGGAATTCAGGAAGGCCTTCGTCATCGACTCGCCTGACGAGAGGAACAGCAAACACAGGACCATTGACTTCCTGGGAACTGGTGGAATAACTGTGACTCTTGATATTGATGCACAGAGTCACTACGTGGAGCTCTTCTCCGAGGAGCTCAGGTGTTGCAACGGCGAGTGGAGGTCGAGCTTTATCAAGGGATCCCTGGACATGGTTGATATAATTGCCCTGGAGGGGTTGGAGTTCGTTCGTCTCGATGAGAGCGATGAGGTGAGACTGGAGAGGCAGAACAACGAGGACTTTCAGGTCGATTGGAATGAGACCTGGGCCCTCAGGATTGAATCGGCAAAAGCATGCTTTCCGTACGAGCACTCCTTCGCCGAGGCAATCCAAAATAAATTATTCTCCCTGAGGAAGTGGCTCAAGGAAATTCACTCGTCAGGTTCAAAGCATCCAGGCAAACTCCCCTGTGATCTAGTTATTAAAATCAAGGAGTGGATCTTCGAGGTCAGCGACGATCCCTTTGAGATTCGTCTCAGGGACAACTATGAACTCCTGGAGGACGAGTACAAGGAGAGCCTCAAGCGACAGGCAATGCTCGATACCAAAGTCAAGGAACTTTGTCGTGCTCATCTACTTTTACCCCAGGGAAAAGTCGAGGAGTTGTACGCAAGTTTGAATAAAAAAAATGCTGAGATATATGTCCAGAGGTGGAGGCAGATGCAGAGGACAGGACCTGCAAGAACTAGATTATTCGCCTGGACGATGCAGCATCTTGAGATAATAGCACTTGCCGATCCTGTTATCGATGGAACTGTCAATGCAACAGCTGCAATCGCAGAGATGGATTCTGAGTCACCCTGGCCCGAGGATGGCATTGAATTTGGAATAATCTGGGTGAGGGGAATTGCTGTCAAGTGCACCGAGTGGAAATTACAGCTGAGAGATTTTCCCCAGCCTCTGCTGCTCGTCGAGGGCCTCAGCATCTGGGGTAAACTCGCTGGGGCTGAGATGTTGGCACCACCTAGGGCTAGGAGAACTGTCAGGATCAGAGTTGGTGCACCCTGGGAGGACATCGTCGTCGAGAGGGGCATGACATCATTAAAATATTATCACGATCTCAATTGGGATATTGATAATTTCAGATACGCCTTTGGCCCGTGCTGGGAGCCAGTGATAGCCCAGTGCAACTTGAGCTTCGAGAAGATCCTTCATCCGAGCCGAGATCCCAGTCCACCCCTGCCCTTCTGGGACAAAATGCGTCTAGCCCTTCACGGTCGTCTCACCCTGTGCGTCAAACAGCTGACGGTTCTGTTGCACGCCTCCCTGGACCCCTACAACACCACCGAGGAGATGGAGCTGACGTGGTCGGGTCTCGAGCTCGACTGGACCCTGGGAAAAATAATTATCAAGGGTGATCTCAACGTGTACGTCAGAACAGCGAGTAAATACGACGACTGCCGTCTCCTGCATCTCCCCAACATCAGATTATCCATGAAGCTGACTTGGGTCTGCCTCGGAGACCCTCGGGATCATCACGCAGCAATTCCCTGCGCCCCAGACAGACTCCCCGAGTACTCCAGCAATCAGGAGCACGACTCCTTTAGGGCATTCAGATCCCAGAATATAAATGTCAGTCTTTCCCTGGAGACGAGGCCCACTGGTTCTCCAACAGTCGTTACACCAGCGCCAACAGCTGTTCTTTATGGTAGTACCCTCCGGTGGTTTGAGAATTTGAAATTTATCCTGTCTGGAGCAACGAGGCCCACGAGGAAGGGCAATCTCTTCAGGAACACGAGACCGAGGAAGAAACAACTGAGTCGACATTACAAAAAGGTCAGGCTGACACTTGCCTTTCACCAGTTTCACGTGAGCTACTGGATGTCATTCGCCATGCAGAGGGGCTTCGAAGTCACTGGTGGACGTGTCGCGTGTTCATCAGAGCACAATCTCTCGCTTTACCCAATTGACGATGGACTCATCCATCGACCGAGAGCCGAATGGTCCATCATCTATATGAACTGTGAACTCAGTGATGCTGAGATCTGGCTGAAGAGTGCACTCCAGGAGGAAGAGGAGTCCGCCTCCCTCCGTCAGCCAGTGGAGAAGTGCTACTGCCTGAGTGTGACGAGAGTGAGCTACGGTAGGGAAGCCCTTGTCGCTGGAATCAGTGGGGATACACCAACCCATCGTCTAGTGGTGCACGACCTGAAAGGCGCCTGGACGAAGACAAATCGAGACGTGGCGTTCGCTCTCTTCGATTCTTTCATCAAGACTCAGCAGCTGAAGAGAAATCTATCGACAGCTGCTCTCAAGGGTTTCCACAGGAGCGAGAAAACACCCAAGAATACCAGGACGAGGTCCATCGAGGCTGTCATAAGCACAACTGGTACAACTCCAGGTACCACAAGCACAACAACAACCACCACGTGCACCACAACCACCACTACGAGCACCAGTACAGCATCCAGCATTGCATCCACGTCGTCAGAGGGGAACCAGGAGTCCTCGGTGGTCAAGTCCCATCAGAGTGAAGCTGCGGGCATGCTTCAGCGATTAATTGCTGAAGCTGCTAATAAACCTGTCGCCTTCAGTGATGACTTGTCCGTTCAGACGAGGGGTCAGCAGCTCAGGGGCTTGGCTGCGTGCAATCAGGATGATGTACTCCATAAAAACTGGCTGATAGCTCTGGTCAACTCTCAGGTATTACTCAAGGGGATCGAGACCAAAGGATACGTGATATTGTCGGCTGCAAAGGCAGAGATACTCCAGAGAGTTCATCGTCCAGTCTGGAGAGAGAGAACTCTTGTCTCGAAGACGACGTGGGTTGGATCCCTGGAGTGCATGCAGTATTATGCAACAGTGTCAGCTAATATCGATGATAATATCGATGACAATAATATCATGTGGCTGACCCTGGATAATATCCAGGAGAAGGACTCGGTGACAGTGTCAGGATTGCCAGATGTACCAGCACTTGTTGGTTCAGGTCAGAGTGTCGGTGGTGTTGTAAGTCAAACTGTTGGAGGTGGTGGCGGCCTCCAGCATCAACTCCAGAGAATAGTCTCGAGATGTAAATGTGAATTTTTCTACGTGGGCTATGGCCAGGCCCTGGACGAAGTCGAGCTCGAGCAGATGCCACCACCACCCCCCGAGGAAGTCACCCCCTGGGAGCGAAAGGATCTCTCAGCAGCCGATGCATTCACCCTGATGCACCACGATCTCGACGTCTGCACGAATTCACTGCAGTACGCGATGCTCCTGGACGTTGTTAATAATCTCCTGCTGTACGTCGAGCCCAGGAGGAAGGAGGCTATGGAGAGACTCCAGAGGATGAGATTCCAGCTGCAGTTGCACTCTGTCGAGGACCAGAAGAGGCCAATACAGCAGCTTCAGAATACAGTCAGAGGTCTTGTCGCTAAATTGAGAAGACTTGAGAGGGAGACGTACCTGGTGCAGAAGGCACTCGCTGAGGAATCGAGCTCCGACCTTGTAGCTGACATCGAGAAACTCGAGGCGAGGGTATTCGAGTGCAAGGAGTCACTCGGCGCTAAAGCTGAAGAACTCGATGTTATGCTGAGTTGTTACAAGGAGACAACAGCACCAGCTGCTGCATCAACGAGTCTCAAGGATAAACCAGCAGCTGTCGCTAGAGCTGCTGAGATTTGCTTCAAGCACGCACAGTGGAGACTCACCGATGCCGATGGACAGCTGGGAATCGCGGATTTAATTCTCACGAATTTTCTTTACACCAAGACCAGCAAGACCGACGACTCCGTCGAGCATCTCCTCGAATTGGGTTACGTCAGGATGACCAATCTCCTACCCAATCAGATTTACACTGAGGTACTGGTGCCCACAGAGCTGCAGAGCAACATGCCAGTGGACAGACAGAGAGCCCTCAGGGTCTTCTGCAGGGAAAAAGCACCTGTCGCTGGGATATCCGTGAAGGAGCACTTCGAGATCAACGTCGTACCCCTCACCATCGGTCTCACCAAAAAATTCTTCAATACCATGCTGAAGTTTTGCTTTCCTGAGAGAGATCCCGATGGTATCGAGGAACCACCTGCACCCCAGAGAGACTCCTCTTTCTATGTACCCATCGAGAGGAGGGATGACGTCGAAAAAATGAAAGAGAGAGCTGACAAGAACAAATTATTCATATACATCAAAATACCTGAGGTACCTGTCACTGTTTCGTACAAGGGTAACAAGGAGAAGAACTTGGAGGACGTCAGGGATTTTGCACTTGTAATTCCAACACTGGAGTATCACAATGTCACCTGGACGTGGCTCGATCTTCTTCTGGCAATGAAGAGTGACTCCAGGAGGGTCATACTCAGTCAGGCTATCAAGCAGAAGCTGCAGATTAAACCGAGGGGACCTCAGGAGGAGAGCACACCCCAGGAGGAGGACAAGGCTAGGCTTTTGCTTGGGGCTAGGCATCATCCTGGTGATGCTAGGAAGAAGAGCGTTTTTAAGTTTAAGTGAGAGAAGGCGAGATGTATTATTGATTAATAAAATAATTTATTTTTTTTTAGTTCCTGGGGAGATTTGCAATTGATCTTTGGAAAATTATTTGTTGTCGAAGGGGTAAATTAATAATTATCACTGGCTATTTGTTTTGCAGTAATTATTAATTTACAGATCTTCTAGGGGAAATTACTACCCAGTAATCACTTGTTTTTAATAGAAAATCAGAGAATTAATTAATAATTGGCAGCTAATGAATTTAATTAAGGAAAGTGGATGGGGGATTTAGAGAGTAATGAGAGGAGCTTCTGCATTTCTCTTGGCGTATTTCCACTCGTTGATGTCAGCCAGGATTCGCCTGCCATAGGCTGTGTGGAGTTCCTTGAACGTGACCTTGGTCCTCGGGATGTTTTCGGTTCTACCTGGAGCCGACCTGACACTCTGAGACCTCTGATACGAGGAGTCCGGTCTGTTGAACGGATTGTGACGCGTCCTGGGTGGTGCTTTTGGCAGATCTGCATCAGGGGAGTCGTCGGGCTGCGCTGCGTCTTCCTTGGCTGCATCCAGCTGTCTCTGGAGCTCCGCTACCATCAGCTTCATGTAGTCGTAGCTCGCGCAGGCAAGGGCTTTCATCCACTGCTCCATCGAGTCCTGGAGGTAATCACTGGCTCAGATAAATTTTAATTAATTAATCAAATCAATTTACCTGCGATTCAGCCCCCAGGACGTAGCTCCTGTTGTTGGTCCCGTGGAAGACAATTTTGAATCCGAATTGCTCCTCAGCCTCGGCGAGCTCGATGGTGCATCCCTCCAGGACAATCATCCCCACGGGCACCTTGTCCCCTCGACGATCAAAATAGAAGAGTATATTACCCTTGAGGACGAACCATCGTCTCTGGCATCCCCTGTTAACCTCACCTCTCTTCGTCAGCCACCCCTCACGATCCACTGGAGTTGCTGATGTCGCAAAAGCCACCATATTCTTCTCATTGATCTTCATGTCTTCTATTAATTACTTCAATCAACTGCCAATTGTTACTCCTGTCACAGGTGTCACAGATACCACAGCTGCCCACCCACTCACGATCAGCTGTTGACCCACGTGAGGCTAGGTACGTCCGCTATTTACATTCTTTCTCATTAGTCAAGTTTACAATTTTTTTATTTTTCATCCCTCTCAAAACACCCCCTCAACCTCTCAAAAAATCACCCCCCATTTTACCGCCCCCTCTTCGCTCATTTTTTTTTTTTAAATATCATTTTTTTATTTTCATATTTTTATTCAATTGTCCAGTCGATTCCAGTAGAAAAAAAAAGGGGGTGGGGGTAGTTTTGTGGGATTGCTTCAGTCGTTCGCAGCAAAATTCTCATTTCGGCTGGGATTTTATAATTAAAAAAAAAAATTGGGAAAAAATTCGGGGAAAAATGGGAAAGGGCTTCAACAACTACATGTGCAAAAAGTTTTTCCATCCAGCCTCGAGGGACAACTTGAAGAGAGTAATTGTTTTTTTTTTTGGGGGTTTTTTTGGAGGATTTCGGGGGTTATAGGGCGGCTTGGGGTAATCGATTGTTTGGGTTTTAGGTATGGATGGCTGAGCAGCAGGCTGAGGCATACAAGAAGAAACAGGAGGAGCTGAGGGTTCAGTATGAGAAGGAACAGGATTTGCATAACAACAAGTGAGTCTGGGGTTATGATCACACATTTTTCACAATTTTCCAGGAAATTCCATGAATTTTTCTCGCAAAAAACCAATTTTATCCGACTGAAAATCACTTCACCCGTTCAAAACCGATGAATTCATTGTGGAAAATGGAGTCAACAATTTTGGATTATTTAATAAATCGTCCTTAACGAGTTTATTTTATTGATTCATTCCAGAGCTATTTTGAGTAAAGAGAGTAAAGACAAACTCAGTGTGAATTTTATGTACGAGCCACCCCCAGGTGCCAAAAAGGAGCGTGAGAAAGAGGATAATGAACCGGAGTACAAATTCGAATGGCAGAGGAAATACAATGCACCTAGGGAGAGCTACTGCAAGGGAGACAGTGAAATAAGGGATCAGCCCTTTGGAATTCAAGTGAGAAACGTCAGGTGCATCAAGTGTCATAAGTGGGGCCACATAAATACTGGTAATTAATTAATTAATACTTATAATTATAATAATTGAATAATATTGAAATTTGCCATCCACTCATTTGTTTATTTTATATATTTATTAGATAAGGAGTGTCCGTTGTACAGTCAAGCAATGAGTGCAGTGATTCAGCCGAATCCGACGAGCACGGGCACCTCGAGCTCTAAGGAAGCCCCAGATGCCCTGACTCTGGTGCAACAGATGAAGGAAGACGGTTTGGCCTTGAAGAAATCAGCCCTGACAGCCCAGCAACATCTCAGAGTACCCCAGCACGAGGAGTTGATGGTTTCCGGGGACGACGAGCCCACGGAGGAGGAATTTCTCAATTCTCTCACGAGAAAAGAGAAGAAAAAATTATTGAAGTGAGTGCAAAAATCATTTTACCGTAAAAAATTCTAATTACAACGCGAAAAAATTATTTTTAATCTGAAAATGAAGGAGAGAATGAATAAAATAGTGAAATGGTGGATTTTCTTTAGGAAATTAGAAAAATTGGAGAGAAAGAAGAGGCGAGAGGCGAAACGTCGAAAAATCAAGAAAGAGGAGAGAAAAAGAAAGAGAAAGAAGAGGAAGTCCCGACCCCAAAACTCTTCTAGTAGTTCCAGCAGCAGTTCCAGCAGCAGTGACTCCTCCTCCGAGAGTAGTTCGAGTTCGGGGGAGGATAGGAGACGCCGCAAGAGGCGAAAACCAAAAAAAAACAGGAGGGAATCGAGTGAGGACTCCAGTGACAGCAAGGAGCGAGAGAAATCTGTGAAAAATCGGGGGGAGGGTGAGAAGCCTCATCGGGAGGAAAGGAGAGACCTTGAACGACTGTCCAGGGATCGTCACGACAGGAAACGTCGTGTCCCGGAATTTGACGACAGAAGAAACAGACGCGACATCAAACGCTCCAGAGAATCGTAGATTTTTTTACAAAATCTTCTCCGTATTGTTCCCGATTTTTAAACAATTTGTTTTATGCTTGTTTTTCATCGAATGTAAGGATCAGTTGATTTTTAAGAGAAATAAAAGTTTTATCTGAGTTTATTTGAATTTTATTTGAGTTTCCCGTTTCTACTATTTTACGAATGAGATTGTGCGATCGAAATTTTCGGAGATCGATCGAAATAATCGCCATTTTATGTTTATATTTATCATAATCTATAAAAATTGCAAAAAAAAAGCGAATTGAATAAACAGCTGCCTCTGAAGGATCGGAAAAACGAAGAATTAGCCCTCATGGTGATTTTAAATTTTGATGGAGTAAGATGGAGGATGGAGGATTGCGGGAAAGTGGTGAGGCTTAAAAAAATGCAATTAAAACAGCCAGAAGATAATATAAACTTTATTTATTCAATATTTTATACTGTCTTGAATTTATAATAATAATAATAATTATAATAATATTAATAATTATAAAGGTATCACATTAAATTAAAGAAAACGTGCTGTACATACACAAGAGGAAATAGAAACAATCGTAACGTTGATGGATTTACAATGCGTTACGCTTTCTTTCGTTCTTCATCTCTTCAATGAAATAGTTAATTGTTCGAATGCACATCTCCAATACCAGGAACGCACAAATAAATAGTTAATAACTTTTCGTTCTCTTTTTAATTACCATAAAACCTCGACTCCCCATTAATTTCTCTTTCCAATAGCAATAGTACGATAAATCGCACATTAAATCGAGTATGTAATGCACACGAGAAAAATAAGAAAACAAATGCATAAGATAGGCGATAACTATGATAACTAGGATTTCGACCTTCGTCTTTAGTACTTTCATTACTTCTCATTACAAAAACACATTAAAAAAAAATCAAAACTCAAATTGCAAATGAAAGTCAATTAAATATGAGGTAAAGGGTTGGGACTCCATAAAAATCGAAATATCGTGGAATCTAATAGAGATATCGAAATTTTTGTAGTGATCTTTTTTGCAGCCTTTACGTCGCCTTCAAAAAATGCTCTCCTCGAAAATTTCGATATCTCTCTTAGATCGCGAGATATTCCCTCCCCTTCTCATCGCAGCTAAATTTGTTTTCAAAAAATTAAAGGGAACTGATTATTCGCTCACATAAACGAGCACCATATTATTTCGAATACATCGTCAAAAGATTTGCCACGGCGTTCATATAAAAAATGTACTACAATTAATATTTATGCTTTTATCGATAGACAAAAAGGCATTTAGATTATTTACACAGTAACAGAGCAAAATTTGCAAGCGTTCATCGAGTATAAAATTCCTAAGCTCTCCCCCCTCGTTACACCGAGTAATTAAGAAAAGAAAAAAAGTAAATCGACGCAGTCAATTGAGAAAAAAGACATCAATCCATCGGTGGAACGTCCCAATCATTTAATATTAAATTCAACTCCCCAGAAATTTCACTGAAATAAAAAGCCAATCAAGCATTAATATTAATATTATTAAAATTGAATATAATTGATATAATAATATTAATATCAACACCAATTAATTTTGTCGAATATATTCCATTGGTGAATCCACTGAATAAATTCCTGGGCATTCCACCGAAAAATTGCCACCAAAAAAAAAAGAAAATTTACTCTGCAGTGATGATGAGCTGATTATCGTTGGTGGTGTCGACAGGTGATACATCCTTCTGTGGCACATCTTCATTGCCCTTGACATCCTCAGCATTCCCCTCGCAAACACCATTCTGCATCTTCCCCTTGGTGATGGCCTTGGGGGCAGTTTTACCATTGACAACACCAGTTTTTCCAGTTTTACCAATTGGTTTCTTAGCAGCGATTGAACTGGTGACACGTCTTGCCGTCGTGGTGGTTGTGGAAGTGGTAGAAGTGACAGATGTTTTCTTCAGGGTCGATGGTTTGGTGGTGCGACTTGAGGAAATCTGTTTGTTGGCAGTTTCCTTTATCTGTTTGTCAACAGCTGGTGATTTTGATGATCCTGATGTGGCTGTCACCGATAATACCCTCGTTCTGGTTGTTGTGGTGCTGGTGGATGGGGCAGTTTTTGGTCTCTGTGGTTTTGTCACACCAGCAGTGGATGGTGGAAGAGTTTTGGCAGTTGTCAGTGGTGCCTTGGGCTTTGGAGGAGCTGTCGTGGGTCTTGTATCAGTCGTTGGTTTTAATGGGGCCTTTGATGGTGCCACTTTTGGTTTGGCTTTGATATCACCATTGACAACACCTGGTGATTTTTTATCTGTGACAGATGTCTTCGTTGCTGTGAGTCTGGAAGAGACGAGTCCAGTTGGTTTGGATTTTGGTGGTATTGGTGCAACTCGTGGAAGAGGTGCTTTTGTTGGTGGTTTCGATGGCTTGGGAGGTGCTGTTGTGCCAACAGGTGCTGTTGATTTAACAGCAGGGCGTGGAGAGGGCTTCTTCGTCGGGGGAACACGTGGTGACACCTTGCTGGGAGATGTTGGCGTAGGTTTCAGGGATTTAACCTCTGGTTTTGATGTTTTCGTTGGGGGTTTTGCTGGTTTCGATGTAAGTTTGGCTTTCGTTTTCTCCTTCTCTGGTTGCGCAGCAGCTTGAGGTGCCACTGCTTGAACCTCCGGAATTGCTGGAACTGCGGGAACCTCTGGTACCTCAGTGGAAGAAATTGACTCACTCTGAACTGAAAGTTCTTCAAGTTTTGATTCGAGAGGTTTAACCAAAACCTCTTCGACTTTATCCTCAACCAGAGGAGCACTGACATCCTCGACAACTGGTGAAGGACTTGACAACTGTGGAAGCTCTTCCTCTGGTTTCAGATCCTCGACGACTGGAGTGGCAACACCCGAGTCCTTCTCCAGGGGATTGAACTGCTCCTCGAGGCCAGTGAACTCCTGAAGGGATTCGGATAATTTTATCACTGGCTCCTCAGGTTTATCAAAGGTGCAGAGCAAATCCTGGCTTTCCTGGATCGACTGGGGTTCATCTGAAGTTTCAAGTGGTGCCACACCCATCTCCTCCATCAGTCCAACCTCTGGTGAAGGAGAAAATGCAGTCTCTGGTAGACGATCAGAATTTTCGTTGATTCGATTGATTTGATTGATTGATTGACCTTCAATCTCCTCGAGATTTTCATTAATGGTCTCGTAGGACATGAGATCGAAGGTGTCAGGGACCTGGAGGGGACTCTCCCTCACCTCCGGAGGCATTCCAACGTCTTGGGGACTGGGAACGTCGGGAACCTCTACCTCCAGGGGATTTTCCTTCACTTCCGCTGATAACTCTTTAATTTCCAGAAGATTCTCAGCAACCTCTACCGGACTTTCCACCTCCTGCGATTTTTCCTTCACCTCCATAGGACTCTCCACCTCCAACGGACTCTTCTCCCCCTCCAGAGGTATTTCACTCACCCCCGAAGGCCTCTCATCCCCATTCTCCTCCCCCAGAGTCAATTTCTCTCCATTAAATCCCGAATTAATCTCCTCGCAATTAGAATTCTTCAGATTCATTGCCTCCACCTCCTGACTCACCTGCTCAATCCTCACCTCCATCGCGTGACCGACCTCCTCGATCCTCTCCTCCATCTCCTGACTCACCATATCAATTCTCTCCTTCATCTCCAGACTCACCTCATCAATCCTCTCCTCCAGCATCTCCTGGCTCATCCCCTCGATCTTCCCCTCAAACTCGTGACCCACCTCCTCAATCCTCTCCACCATCTCCTGGCTCATCCCCTCGAGCCTCACCTCCATCTCCTGACTCACCTCCTCGATCCTCTCCTCAATCTCATGACTCACCTCCTCGATCCTCTCCTCCATCTGCTGACTCACCTGCTCAATCCTCTGCTCCATCTCCTGAGTGATATTATCAAATATATCTCTCACCTGGTGATCGGGAAAGGCATCCGATGGCTTCGGCTGATCAGAGTCCGGTGATATTAAATCAGCTAGCTCAGGATGCACCTCATTATCTTTCTCATCATCTAGACAATTGCCATCCGTCATCAGATCAGCATCAGTCAAATCGTGAACTGCATTGAGATCAACTGAAGTTGTCAAGGGATTGAAATCCCCAGGACCAAATGACATTATCATCGGATCATTATCAAATGCTGAGCATGAGCTGGTGCATGAGGCATCGAGGCCAGTATTTCTGTGGTAATCGGGATTTGTCAGAAAACTAGCTGTTGACTCGTCGCCGAATTCAACTCGTGTCGATGATACGTCTGACTCGTCCAGGAGATGCTTTATCTTTTCAGGATCTGTTTTTTCAGTCTCAAGTTCACCGTTCTGAGGAGATACAATTTTATCCTCGATTTCGCTGGGCCTGTGACTCACCTCCTCCTGGAATTCACTGGGACTTGGTACCCGGATGTCGTCCATCATTGGTGATGGCTTGAGAGGTGATCCCGAGATCGGCATGTCCAGGATACGCGTTGGGATGTTTGGAGCTGGTGACACTGGGATGAACTCGGCTGCGTTTGGATTCAATTGGAAGTCCATGTCTTCGGGGGTTGGCGATGATTCCCGTACCGGGGGAGAGGGAAGAGTTAATGATGGTGGCTCGCGAATCTCCGGGTCAGTGATGATTTTTATGGCTTCCCTCCCCTCAGACTCTACCTCGCTATCACTCGATTCCTCTTTCTCTTTTTCAATCTCTCTCTCCCTCTCCTTGAGGCTATCAGCCCTCTGATAATCCCGAGACACCTGAGCCCTAGATCCCTCAGTCGTTGAATTTTTTACCTTATCAGGATCAGCCCTGTAGTAATTCCACTCGTCGTCGGAGTCCTCGCTGTCACCTACATTCTCCGCATCATGCTCATTTTTTTCACCTGTAAAAAAATTAATTAAAAAATCATTAACCAGATTAAATTCCAATTACATATTACACACCGTAGAAAGGTGAGTGCGTGGGTTGCGGTATAAAATGGGGGACTAACAAAAAAAAAATATTATTAAAATTTAAGGGGAAATCCCACGCATTGGACTAGACCAGTTTTGGTGCCCACACAATCGTGTCCTCGCACTGAGATTAATGCATTTAGGATGCACTTGGGAGGTTTGCCAAGGAAGTAGCCGACACTGGGGAACAGCTATCGACGGATACGCGCATGAGCGACGGTGTTACCATGAGGAATGGGCGTTGCAAGCCCGTCATGCAGGATGCATTCCTCCTGCTGACGAGCCTGTCCTCTAGCTCTACCCCTCCCCCGTCTGTCGTCCTTTTTATACATTTTTTGGGGGGTATTTGGAGGCATTATTCCCCGGGGAACTCCAGGAGATGATTCGCACGAGAGAGAAGTCGCTTTTTTTTTCATTAGAATTTTTTCGTTGTTCATGGAAAATTTTTATCATTTCCAAATATTATAAATATATAAAATTCATTTAGATGTTAAATTGTTGAATAAATAATTAAATGAGCGAAAGAAAAATTAGAATGAATACACGAAAAAATATTGAAAAGTAGTATTAGTGGCTCGAGGTACTGTCCATCCATCCAGGAATAGATAATTTTTGTTTTTGTTTGAGAACAACATGGTAACTGAATTCCACTGCTCATTTATTTCTATATGTGGTATATTTCTTTGAATTTTTATTTTGCCCCTCGGTACGATGGCCTCTTGTCAGTGTCACACGCTCTTCTCTCTCGTTTCACACTCACGTCGCCTCTTTTTTTTGCCGAATCCGAAGTTAATTTTACACCGACTGCCTCACTCTCAACATCAGCTAATCCCAGTCCACGCGGTTATCTCCCGTGTTAAGAACAGTCAATGTTAAATTAATCTAATCTATGAATTTTTATTGATAACAATTCCGCAATTTCTCGGACGTTTTTTAAATTTTCAATTTTCTCCTCCCGAATTTTTCCTCGATAAATCGAATTTCAAAGCACAGATTTATAAAAATTTAGACAATCACTGGGATATTCAAAATATTTTCATCTGGACGATCTCGCAGAGGAAAACTCCATTAAAATTATTTCTAGGCAATGAAATTTCCGATAAAAAAGTCTAATGACAAACAGCGCTAAAGGTTTTAGTTCAAGCGATAAGAGCGTAGTAATGTGTAAATTGAAATGTAGAAAAAGAGGAATGAGTCACACTGAGCATTCTCGACGGTAACGCGAATATCTTCAGAGTGAATCATTTTGAGAGAAAATGTCATAAGAACTTTTATCTGGGGAAAATAATTTTCGAAAGAAAGTTCTCCTGACGTTTAAATCTACAACCACTGGTTATTGAGATAATTGAATGATTATCAGGTGAAAACTTTTGAATTGAATCGAGCTCTCTACTTCAATGATGAAGTCGTAAAATGAAAATTAAGAGAAACTCCTGGTGAAGCAGGAAGCTATGAGATAATATATATATATCTTCCTCGATTCCTCGACTCACTCAAATACGAATTCCAACAGCAGGAAGTGGGCGAACAGTCCAAGGAGAACACGCGAAAAAACTTTCAACTCTCTGTAACGCCGGCTTCATTCAGATACAACCTAGAAACTCGCCTTCACACACGATCCAATTTCATTTTTACATTCGAAAATTTTCCTCTGCCCCCTTTCCCACACCCCTCACAGTTCAAAATATTCATAAAAAAAAAAAAAAAATCCCGAAATCCGAATTTCCACATAATTTTTCCGTCATCAATTCACGCATTACCACGTGGCAGCCACAGGATTGATTCCACGTGAAAATGTTATTAACATTTATTTGGGATAATTTAATTGTCTACAAAAAAGGTCCTGTGAGTTTCTCCCAAAAATTCCTCCCCCCTCGAGATATCGCAGTTTATTATAATTTTGAGGTTGTGACATCAAAGTCGATTTCTGAATCTGCTTAATTGAGAATTATCTCCATAACGATTGATTCTACGAAAAAATTATATGATCATTTTTTTTGGGTAATTGAAGGCCCTACAAAAAAGGTCCTGTGACCTCCCGCCGTAAAACCTCTCCCTGAAGAGATATTGTACTAATTAACAACAATCCTTACGACACTAAAATCCAAATCAACCTGTCATTAATTTCTAATTACCCGCAAAACGGTTAATTATCCATAAAAAAGTCATTAGAAAATTTTCCAGGTAATTTCACCCACTCCAAAAAAGTTCCTGTGACCTTTCCCCGTGGATGCCCCCCACCAGAGATATGTCGCCGAACACCCGGCGTATGAGATATTCTGAAAACCCGCCTTGACACATGGTCCATTCCACCAAAAACCGATCCCCAAATCCCCAAAAAAATCCCCCCACCTGCCCAAAAAAAAAACCTCCAACCCACCCCTTCCTCGCAACCCCCTTCACCACCCGCCGGTCAACCCTATCCCTCAAAATTAAAAAATAACTCCACGAAAAAGTCGAAAAAAATGTACCGAGAGAAATGGACCGGTAATTTCAAAAATTCTGCGCACATCCGTTTTACCCCCCCATCACCCCACCCTTTTTATCGCCACCCCCTCAATAATGAGATATGAAAAATTGCGCCAATTGGCGAGACGTACCTGACGCTCAAAAAATGGACTCGAATCCTCGTCTGATGAATATAATCTCGATTATTCTTTTTTTCTCTGAGGAATTATTTCACCCGGCGTTTTTTTATTCAATTCCTCGCACACGTCACGACAATTATTTATTTACCCGTTGACCGCGTGTGGCTCGGTTTAAGGATTTATTTTTGTTTGGGGGGGATGAAAAAAAAAATTCACGGAGAAGACGCAACGGATTTTTGACGAAAATCCTGGAGCACTGGGACGGCCTGTCTTCCTAGTCTTCCTAGCGACTGTCTCTCCCCCTCCATTCCGAGAATATTCAGGACTCGAGTAACGATTGGCCGATTCAGCTGGGATCGCCAACCAATCCCGAGGCGGACTCTGACGGACTCCACCGTGCACTAAATTTGAATTTGAATCGACGGAATTCACGATTTTTTTGGGTTTCTTCACCATTATCGACTTTTGAATTACGATTTTTTGATTGGGCGGAATGTCTGGAGTAATTGGCGGGAATTAAACAGTTTTTCGAAATATATCTGAGGTTTTTGAAATTTAAAATTAAAATTATAAACTTTTTTGGAGATTTTTCTGCACAGAAAAATTTTCAGAAGAAAATTGAATTATCAATATTAATAAAAAAATTCAGTTGAATCTTTTTATTAAATTTGAATTTAAATTTAAATAATTAGATGACACCGCAACGCCTTTTTTCCATAAAAATCCAATTAAACCCCTGAATCATCCCCAGATATTTCCCCAGAGTGTCAATAAAAAATAAAATTAATAAACGAGAGCATTTTCCATGGTGGAAAAATCCCCAGTGGTATTTTTTCCTAGGGGAAGTCTGAGACGAGAAAAATTCCGGTGTCAAGGCGATTTAATAACAGAAAAAGCCCGGAATTAAAATTGTTAAAAAGGTAAGGACGGAAATTTAATTAATTCAGAATATGGAATGTAAAATCATGTCAGGGATCTCGCCACCGCGATGGAGTCATTATTAGTCAATTAGCTTAATGAAAAAAAAAGAAAAAAAACAGAAAAGATAGCGAACGCACGAATGAGCAGGAGAACAATTGTTGCAGTGCTGAGGGGTCAAAGGGAGGGGATGGGGAAAATCTTGAGCTGATTCTGGTTCGAGGCGACAATCAGTGCATCAAGTTCACTGACTGGCACGCTTGGACGCCATCCCCAGGCCAGTATTTAATACCTGGTGAAATCTACATTTTCTCCCCCTTGAATTTTCCCGGTTTTCATCCGATTATACTGAATTTGCCGAAACCCATACGTTTTACGAGAAAAGTTCACAGGACATTTTTTGGAGACCAAAATATTCCCCACGAAAAATGTCTTCTCACATTTTTCTGAAAAATTACTCATTAATGAGATAATACGATAATTAAAGATTCTGCAATTATTTCGGCGATTACTCGCTCTGGCTGAAGGTGTCCGAGAATTTTTCTGTAGCTTACGAAATTTTCCACGATAAAATCCTATGAAATTTTTTGCACCTGATGAAATTCTCCACAAAAAAGCTGTCATGCCATTTATCTCCCACCCCCTCTCACCCCCTCCCACCGGAAATAATCCCCCACTAACAAATCCATGAAAAACCGACTCTCTCCACAATCTCCCCGTCTAACATCGTAATTATCTCCCAAACCACTTGCGTTACGCAAAAATCTGAAAAGACATTTCACCGAGCCAAGAAAATTCCGCACAAAAAACTCATATAAAATAATCCTGTAAACCCCATCCCTCCCAAGATAGTCCAACATCTCTCAAAAATCCAGAGAGACAAAAAACGTGCCGTGTGCTCTCGACGGTTTCAATCGAAAAAAAAATTGTTTAATCATTATAAAAATATTCAAAAAAGCACTCACCAGTATTCCGGTTGCCAGGTACCTGCCCCCCATCCCCCAGGAGATCCAGTGGCTTTTCGAGCTCAGGGAAGAGCTCCCTGGAGACATTGGCGAGTGTGCAGACATCCCCTGCCTCATCAACAGCATCAACATTGCTCTCTGGACCCAGGTCATCGTCATCGTCCTCCTCTCCGTCGTCCTCCTCCTCATCAAAATTAACAGCACCATTCTCGTGTCTGCCATTCGATGATTTGGTATACGTGAACTCGTCCTCGTCGAAGGCACCACCGTTATTCTGATTTCTCACTGGCTTACCAAAACTCGAATTCACAGAATTTACGTCGTACTGACCAGTTGGAGATGAAAAATACCTGTTGTCCGGCTCCATATTGTTCAATTCAACATCCGCAATCAGCGGATGATTGTGGGTAAATCGTGTTGCTATCTGATTAGGTGGCGTTAGAAAAACAACAATAACTGTTATATTGTCGAAGGAGCCCTTGTTCTTCGAGTAATCGACCAATCGCTGACTCACAGCTTCGAGATCCTCTAAAAATATTATTAAAAAACAATAATTAATCATTGATGCTCATCAAATATTTAATTACTTCTCTTATTTTTCATTTGTCAATTTATTCATGTGAACGAAATTCCGAAATAAAAATTTCTCGAGTTTCGAAAAACAAATACAACTTTTCATCGGCTAGTTTAATCGAAGAGATTGGTGTATTTACACGCGAAAATCCAGTGAGTCAATTGATTTTTCTGGTCCCCTCTAACTATGAGTAAACGTCGATGAGTCATGAAGGCAATTGTGCCAGGGGGACAATTACTGGTGAGCGGTACGTCCGGAGAATTTTTCGCAGACGTAGATTTTTCAAAAAAACATTTATTCCCCGAGATAATTGATTTATCAAACCAAGCCCTCCACTACTGATTGATAGATAATATTATTTAAATGGGAAATGAATTTTTGGAAACGTCAAAAGGGAAAATGTTGATAAAAATAATTTCTCGGTGAAAAATTATACGGAAGGTGATGGGAATTAAAAAGGAAGTGGAAGTGAGACCACAGGGAGACGTCTCGAGTGGTCGTTCTTATGTTGTGAGACAAGTCTCGTATTACAGGAATTATATTAAATTACGAAAGGGTTTTTTCCCCAGGATGAGAATCGACAGTTCATCAACGAAAGTCTAGACTTCCTGTTGAATTTTGGGGTAATGGAGTTTATTCGTGTGCCATCTGTCATTGAATTTGAATTTCAAGGGGTTCCCAGAAGGCCAGACTGTTGGGTAAACAAGAAATTACGAATTTTGGGGGAATGGATTATTTTGATGCAATAGTTCAATTTCAGAGACAATTATCTCGAATCAAGAGCTCCACAGGGCCAAGTTCTAAGGAACTTTTTTGAAGAGAATTCCGTCAGCTATCAAAAAGTGTTATGACTTTTTTTTCTGGAATAATTATTTGTTGAGATAAATGGATAATTGAAAAAAGTGGCAATTGAGGGTTTTTTTGGAACGCTTGAAATTGAGGGGGAATTTTTTTGGGAATATCTTGGAAACCAAGAGGCTTAGAGAAATCTTTGTGGGGAATTTTTTGTACAGAACTCTCCGATCTAAAAATAAAATCTTTTCACATTTTCTCATCAAACAACTCCTTCCATAGAAAAACCCACAATTACGAAAAAATTCGTTCACAATTTCACCTAAACCTTCAAAACAATTCCTCAATTCTTCCATAAATATCTCTCAACCGAAGACTGGGCGAAAAATTTATCCCCAACATTACTTATCCAGAATTTCACGCTCTAAAATCAAACCGCCCTGACATTTCCCCCCAAAATCACTCATTCCCTCGCTAAACCCCCACGAACGAAAAACCAAAAACCTTCCATTTGCAAAACCATCACTCCTTCACACCCCTGGTACGAAAAATAAAAAAAAAAATAAAAATCCGTTATTCACCTACCGAATAACCGGAAGAACGCCGATAAACCAGGAATAATCGTGGGAATTCGTGAATCACCTTGAACTGGGGGGGAAAATTTCAAATGGCAAAAATCACGAAATGATGTTGGGATGTAACGGGTGTGGCGAGGTATCGCGATCAACTGGCGAACCGGCTCTTTTCACCGAACCCACAGAGAAAACGTGGTGGGCTGTACCGCCCGTTGCTACCGCCACCACCGCTACGTGACTCACGCCAACAACTCACCATATACCTCATACCCACCCCCATTTCGCGTACATTCGCATCTCTCCCCTCCTTTACCTCCCCGCCCTTCCCCCCTCACACCTTTACCGCCCCCCCTTCACGCTCACACCGACATTTACCGCCCCCTTTCCCCCTTCGCGGCCAAAACCGCGCATTCACCGCTGCCCCTTCCTCCCTTCTACCCACTCATTCCACCCCCTTCGCCACCCCACCCCGCCCTCGCTCTCTTCCTCTTCCACTTTTTTCGCGATTTCATGTAGTCTCTGTGCATTACTTTATCCCACGAATTCCCCAGCCCCCACGTGAATATCAGAATTTATGGAGATCTCGCGATTATTGTGAGCTTGAGGGGAGTTTTCATCGAATTTGGGAGGGCCTAGCTCGGGATTGGCTGAAATGAATTTTTCAGGGATGAGAACGTTTTGAAGGGTTTTTCTTTGGGGTTAAAATGAAACCGGGTTTTTCGAAATCGGATCGGTGGATCGGGAGATATCGATATGTGCGCGAAAATGGTCCAGAAGTTTGAAAAAAAATTCGGAAAAGCGATCAAGAAAACTCCCGGAAAATGGAGAAATTGAGTCGTCGATATCTTGGGATCGGTCGAGTCGATTTTCAAAAATCTGACGTCATTTTGAAGATAATTTCCCAAGGCTCAAAATGGAGTTCGATTTTTTTAAATCGGTCCATTCAGTTGAGGATTATTGGGCCTTGAGTGAAAGTTGGTGAAGCGAGATGGAAAAATGCATTGATTTCGATTATCAATAAACGGAAAGATGAATGAAAGAGGCAAGCCGGTGGATCTCGATACATGAAAAATGTATAATTCTGATGATGGTGTACTGGTTAACCATCGGCACAAGACGGCCGAGTGGGATGCATCACCGGTTCCGTTGTCCGGGGCCTAAGAGAGGCTGCTGAAGCGGCAAAAGGAACGAACGTTCCGCACCGCGGCAGACGACGGGTATATCCGTACATCTGCGCCAGAGAATGATCGCTATAACAATCTAGCCGTCTGGGACATTCCCCCAGTCTCAAATCCCCCAACAGATAAATTAGCAACTCCAAAAATTCAGAAATTCCACTAGACTCTGGATAAACGTACAACGAAACACTTTGACCCCGATTACCTACACCGGAGTTAACCCGAGAGACAACCTCCAAGGAACTTTTTTGTCGAGAATTTCCCGGGCTACAAAACAAGTTATCTGATATTTTCCTCTAAAATCAATCCTCACCGAGATAGACGCCCAATTAACAAAAACTGTGAATTACGATTTTGGAAAACGCTGGAATTTGTTGAGATTGGCTGTTGAATATTTTCGAAACGAATAAATTTCGAGAAATTTCTTGAGAATCTTTTTTGTGAAGAATTTTCCCCTCGAAGTAAAAAATCTTATGACATTTTCTCGTGAAACCCGTCCTCCCGTGAACAACCCCATCAGAACAATCCTAGACCCGAAATTTTCCTTTTCGTTTTTCCGCCACGAATACCTTCCCCCCAAAAAAAACTCAGCATTCCATCCGCGCAATTCCAACCGAAGGTGTTCCCCATCCTTTTTGTCGTAAAATAGCAAGTTTCTAATTATAACAAGAGTAATGGACGAAGAAGCCAGAGGGAAAAGGAGAAAGAGTGTCTCCCACGTGCGCACCACATCCACTCGCACCAGAGAAAACTTTATTAAAGTATGACTCATCCATGTCCTCCACCGATATCTGAATGCTCTTACGATGCAATTCCATTAAATTAAATTTTGTTCATCACCTCTCCTCCCTCTCCCTCACCCACCCCCCCAGGCCCACCCGCCAATCAATACCATTTCCCTTTAATTAATCATCATCATTTCAACGATCGACCATGAGAAAAAAAAAATCCAAGAATAGAATAAAGAACAATAAAAAAATGTCTGAATCTTGAATAATACTTTTCCCAGAGTGATGATGTCATGTGGCAAATTCTCCCAACGAAAACAAGAGAAAAATAGATTCATCATCAATATTTCACCACGCGATATTCAACTTAAACATCTGCTACTCTCTCGACAACATTTGCAAGAAACGAGCCAACGCCCCATCGATAATCTTCCACGATTTATTATTATTTTTTATTACCACTCCCTCCCACCCCACCCCTCAGCCGGTTTTTGCTCTCTTAATTGTAAATCCTTACGTCCAGAGCCAAGGCCTAACTGTATGTTCATTATTTTTTTTTGCTCGTCTCTCGGAATAATCTTGCGATGGTTTTGTTTTTCGGTTGGATGATTCCAATTGGTACGAGGAAGTGGGTACATCGGGTCACGAGAGTGGATTGAAAAAAAAAAAATTTATTTTGTAACGGGGGTGGGAGTTTAAATGTAATAACTTGGAGGTCGACGACAATGACTCACCGCTGGAATCGAGCTGGAACAAATTCCTTACTCTAATCCAACCGAAACCATTTGCGGACCTGCTTTCCCTCGGCAAAGTGCTACTACTTTGCTTGTTTTTGATATATTAAAACCGAGTGGAGGATGAATTCCAGTGGTTAAATGTTTTTATGATGCTGGAGGTCATTTTACTCCGGAAGTACACGTCTAGGAATTTTTTTCTTCAAGAAAAATCGTCTGGAGTCGCTTTTCTATGGAAAAAAAGGTCCAGGGAAATTTTCCTTGTGAAGAAAATCCCAGGGGATTTTTTCCGGAGAAAATAATTAGGGGACGTGCAATGGAATTATTTTTCTCCAAAGAAAACTACCCCAGAATATTTTTCCGAAGAGAATTTTCCGGGGAATTCTCTCGGATTAAAAAAAAATTGAATTTTTTCACCTCCTGGAAATTTTCAAGGAATTCGCGCCAATGAATTTAAATTCAAAAATAAAATTATGGAATAAAGATAAAAAATGAATAAAAGGGAGAAAAAATGAATGAAGACTTGAATTTTCCCGCATAACGGTATGGACAGCGGTGAGCTGCTAGTGTGCGCATAAAAATTCCTCCAATTAAGAGTCAAGTCTCGTAAATGCGCGAAACACGCGTCATGAATCATTATTAAATGGTAACGAATACACACACGGTTAAAGTTTGAGGATTCCTCATCAATGACAGAGAAAAAGTGTCAAGAGAGGAAATTATAATGGTCGCGCATCAGTAAAACGGGCGAGGTCTTCAGCTCCTCCCTGAATTCCTTTGTTTTAATACCATCCCACCCAGAAAATAATTTTTTAAATCGAGATTATAGTTAAATTAAAACAAAATGAAAGTTCTACGAAAAATATTGAAGACTTCAAGACATTTCTCACAATTTTCATTCCCACAATTATCCGTTTTACCGCGTAACGAGAGATTTCACAACGAAATTAGATTCAGCGATCAACAAATAATATAATTTTTTTAAACAATTTGATTACTCACGTGGATCACGACACACTTGTTGATAAACGATTCCAGCGGCAGTTGTTTCATCGATGTGATCCCACAATCCGTCACACGCGATCACCAGGAAGTCCTCACTCCCATCGAGGATAACACATCGAATTTCAGGATCACCAGTGACGTAGGGCTTGTACTGAGGATCACCTAGAATAAAAATAAAAATCAAATGAATATCCATTTTCTCAAAAAGAACTTAAATAAAAAAATCCCTAATTACAATATTAAAATTAGGCCGCGCGCGTTATGAACCTAGTATTAATTAATCTAGGAGACTCGTCGTTTCATTTTAAATACAATCCGTCAATTGAAATTCCATTTCGCCGACCTAGACCTCAGAAAATAATAAATAGGTTTACGTGTAATGAAGTTCAATAAAATGGGGCATTGAGTGAGTGAGCAGGTGAGCGCGTGCAATTAACTATAATTATCTAATTAATACGATGCATGTGATCGTTTGAATAATGAGGTAAAAACTGCAGCACGTGCGAGCTTCCGGTTATTACCAGCTTCCGTACCGAAGAAATTGGTTTTAATATTTCTTTTGTCAATTTTTTCAATTCAATTGAAAAGACGAAAAAGTGGAATTGTTGAAGAAAATTTCCCTCAGAAAAAATTGCAATGAGAATTGTGTAATTGATGGGGGCTATTTCTGGAGCTTTTGAAGGACTGATTATTTATAATTATTATCCAAAAATGTTTGCATGAAAATTCTGGCGATTTATCAACCTGCGAGTTCCAGAGGAAGGTGCAGGAAATAAAACGTGAATTCTCATCACGTGCTGCCTATTTTCACGCGTACATAAATGGTCAAGCCTCACTCAAACTGGGGTCAATCCATACTTGGTACTGTTTATCGGCAATGACGACACTGAGAATATCTGTACAGATTTAACGCAACATTTTCAGTGGAACGGGTTTTCCACCATTTCAAAAAATTCAGTAGCGAAATTATAAATTCCATATTTATAATTTTTTTCTACTTCAATCATCGTTAATTACTGATTACTACAGACGTAAAAAAAATTTTAAACCCGAAATTTTCCACCAGCGAGTGCCTATTTCCAATCGATTCTGACTCATTACGATTTTCCCCTGAATAAATCATCATACGATGCTTTCTTCCCCCACGTGTTTTAATAAGTAATCAATGAGCGTATCAAGTATCTCGATGCGCTCTCTAGCCATTCAAATCGCTCCATTCACTGCACATCCACATACAACAGATGAATATATTTTTTATGGATTTTTCTTACCTATCGCTCGTGATACCGCGAGATTTCCGTTCACCCGCCACATTCCGTAGTGCATCACACTTCCGCCCATCCTGATCACCCTGTCTTTCTCATCCTAATAAAAAAAAAACAAAAATTTCCATTATCAACTTGAATGGCACCGTCCTGACAGATTAAACAATTGTTTTAAGAAAAAAAAAATCAAAAAAATCCCATTCTATTGTTTATAACAACGAAAAAAGAAAATTCCCGTGGAAAAATAAATAAAATATCCGAAGATGTCGACGAAGGGAACGCAATTGGACAGCGACAAGCATCTGCTGGTTTTCTCGTCCTACGAGGAGTACCTGGACTCTCTGGTGACGCCATTGGACCTGAATTACCTCCGAAACACCGAGACAGCGAGAAAAATAGCCGAATTGGGTTACAAGAGCGCAGGGGAGACCCTATCCCAAGAGGACTTCCACCAGAGGCGAGAAAAAGTTAAAGACCTTTTGTTCCCAGTGTGGAGACCCTTCACCCTGCACTCAGAATTGTCAACCTCCAGAGACCCCGTGATAACAGAGCTATCCCTGAGGGAGAGATCCAACCGCCTGGGGATCCTCTCCACGATTATTTTTGTGAGAGCAACCCCGAGCCCTGGCCTCGAGGTCTCTGGCTTCATAGATTTCGCTCACCGATTGAGAAGGGAGAACTGGCGGCCCTTCTTCGAGGGCAGGAGAAAGCTGAGACTTGGCAGGTCTGATATGTCCTTCTACAATTGGAAGACGAAGAGATTGAGTCTCAACGAGACCGATAATTACGAGCCAGTGATCGAGGAGAGAAAGGGAATCCTCTGGAAGAGCCTGGGGGACCTAAAACTCCTGGATCTAGACCCCTCCAAGCCCCCAGGGCCTGACAGCTTCAGGATGACAGTTCACAGTATGGATTACCAGCAGGTGGTGCTGTATGATCACCTCTTGAGATGCAGAAATTGATTGAGCACAGAAATATCCTCTGGGGATTGAATAAATTAGGAATTATACTCAGGATTGAAAATACTCACGACTCTGTCTGGCTTGTGTGGATTGACAAGTTGAGTGACATTTCCTCTTTTGGCTAGTGCAGCCTGTGAATCCCCAGCCCACGCAACGTACAATTTTCTATTGACAATCAGAGCACAAACAGCTGTTGCACCACTGTTGATCCCGTGATCCTGACACTTCTGGACAAAATGTGCATCAGTCGTGATAAATGCATCGCGCAGTGCTCTCTCTGGATCCGTTGGGTAATGAACACTCTCGGCTAAATACTGATGGAGATGTGCTGCACAGTAGACAGCAGCTTCTGGCCCCATATGACCATCAAATACTGCGTAGTAACTCGATGTCGAGTCGTCCTGAATGCTGAAGATTGAATTTAAATCGTGGAGAATCACGTGACGATCCTCCATCCTTCGACGACTGTTTCTTATTGCACGCACTGTTGTCTGGGGTAGAGGGTTACCTGGTGGCGGTGGCAGAAGGGCTAATCTGCTGTTCTCCAGGTAACGCTGGCAGATCTCGTTGACTTTTCCAGTCACTGCCTGCATCAGCTTCAGCGGCGCGTACGCTGAAGTGTGAAATTCAAAAGGAATTAGCCGTCATTTACCATTTTTTTCATAATTTTTTCGTGAGAATTTTCCAGGGGAATGGGGACCCCGAAATTTCATTCAGTACTCACTTTTTTCTAGAGCCCTCAGACCGCAGGCTTCGGGCTGCTTCCGGCACATTGTCTTTATCTCCTCGATAACGAGACGAACAATATGCGATTGAAGACTCGGGGGGCAATATCTGTAATTGAAAAAAAAAAATAATTGATCAAGTGATAAACCTTCTCTCAGGTAAACCCAATATTTTTCTCGTGATATTAAAAATAATAATTCGTTAAGAGAATAAAATAAAAATGGTGAAATTATTTTTTTTTTTTGAATTTTGGCGTTTCGTTTTTGCAAAAATGTACATTTCTATAATTTCGATAATTCAAAAAAATGGCGGCAATCACGACTAATGCGTAATAACGCCGCCGGACATTTCAACAGGTGTCTCGACCCTGCAGAAACGCATCTCCTCAACCTAGAGTTCTGTCAGTGATCTGTCAGTGATCTGTCAACACCTCCGACAAGAATGGCGAAGATCGTGGGAAAATATCAGCACGAAAGGAGCGAAAATCTCGACGAATACTTCAGAACTCTCGGTATACGATAAATAAAATATAGAATATAGAATTAAAAAAATTCTTTCTTGCCGATTTATCTCGAAAATGATCGATTTTGGACCGAAAATGAATGAGTCATTATTTATGGGGATTTTAATTCCCTACAAAAAAGGTCAAGTAATGTTTTTCATGGAATCGATGGTTTAAGAGATAAATTGATTGATTAGGAGTTCCTTTCATCGCTCGGAAGATGATGTCAGTATCGAATCCTAGAATCGAAATAATTCAGGATGAGGACGAGTGGACGTTGAAAAACATCACGATGATTCGAACTCAAGAGGTGAAATTCAAGTTTGGAGAGGAATACGAGGAGTTCATGCCCTTTGGGGTCGTCCTCAAGGTAAATGATCAATAAATGATTAATTTAACAACTCAAAAACGAAAGATTAAAAATGATTCGGATTTATTACGTGAATATCTCCGAATCTAATTGAGATATCGAAATTCTCCTCAGGATCTTTTTCGTAGGTCTTAGTCGATTCTGCAGAATAGGTCCTGACGAAATTTTCGGTATCTCGATACGATCCAGAGATATTCCCCGTTGAATCCAGGAGCGATTAATTTTTTTAATTGTTCCAGAATACGACGAATCTGGAGGGAGACTGTCTCGTGACGATTTCAACCGGTCCAGACGGGACTAAAGTCAATCGGAAATACCAGTTTTCAGACGATCGAATGATTCTGGTAGGTGGAATCGTTAATTTCTGCATTATCAGGGGTAATTAATTATTTATTGATTCCAGACGATGACTCAGGAGAAAAATGGAGTAACCTGCACCAGATTTTTTAAGAGGATCGAGTAGAATTTTCGAAAAGGGTGTGGTCCTGGATAATATCAATGATTAAAACCACAAGTCACCACTGTCTATTGCGCAAACGTAAACAATTCTACTCCCCCACCTTTAAACAGCCATTGTAGTACATTTTTCTCGTGAATTGATTTTTTTTTGGAAAACCCTCGTTTTTCAGAATTTTATAAATAAAAGCTGACACTCATTTCCAGGAAAATGCGCATGACACCGATCGTAATTGCGCGTTTATCTCGGTGATGGGGGGGTGTAGGAAGAAAAGTGATAAGAAATTTTAAACTGCTCATGGAATTATCTACAAAAAAGTCATCTTACAGATCTCTGTAAATATTTTCATTCTGGAGATATCGGTTGAATAAATTTGATTTTTTACTCGGCATCACGTGTCTTCTTCTTTATTATTAATAACAATTTATCTCCAAAACACGAGGTGTTAGAGAAAAATGTGAAATGGAATTATAACTAGCAGAGTAAATTTCCCACAAAAAATTTCCCGGATACATCCCTCTACACATCTCCACTTCAGAGATAATCCCACAGTAAACATCCGGAATTTTTTCTTCATAAAAAAAAGGAAATGTCATTTTCCCGTGACATTAATCCGGATATATTTAGAAAATGGCGGGTGTGAGGGGAAAAAGTGACAAGAAAATCCATGTAGCAAACGAAATTTTCTAGAGGAATCACCCCTCGCACCCCGATAAAGTCAATAGTCAATGTATAAAACTCACTTCTGATCCAAATACTGTAGCGTCATATCGATGACTTCACCGACGAGTTCGACTTCCCTGACATCGTGACCCGTCATTTTAACGGGCAGCTGATCATCAGGATTCATGCTCCCAACGAAATCCACGAGAAATCTCCTGTAGGACCCCAGGTAGTCCCCATCCACCTGATCCATGTCGTTAATTCACGCACACAATTGAGGTTAATCCATAAACAAAGGTGTGACCATGTGGCACTTGTGCATCTCGACGTTAAAAGTCACTCCACTAATTAATTAATCAATTGTTTATGTTTTGTCGAGGAATTGATTGTTGGATTTGTTGTTGTTTAGGTTGTGTAGTGTTGGGTCACGAAAAATCACTCGTTGATATGCGATATTTGTACTTTCGGTTTCTTTATTGTGTTATTTACTATTTCCCTGGCTTAATTATTGTACATATGTGCTATGTATTGTGCGAGGGTTTGTACTGTGTGGGAGTTATTGTTTTCTCCGCGTCGATTGCAAAATTTTGGGACAAGAAGTGACTCAACACGGGTTAGGGTGGGTCTTACGGCGTCGCGAGAGGAGGGGAGGGTTGAGCGGGAAAGACGCGACATTTGAATTTATTTCGTTTTGCTCGCAGGTGAAATCGATTGAAATAAAATATTTCGGAAAATTCTTATCATTTATTCTGCATTGGATTACAATAAAAAATTGTTTGCAAATCACTCATTCGAATAATCACAAATTCCAGGATCCGATTTTTATTAAAATTACCTATTACTGTCATCAATCGAGATGAAAAAAAATTATCAATCCAGAAGTCCTTGGATTTGCGCTGATAAGAGCTAAAATTAAACTCTCTTGTACGTGCGGGTGGCTTTTACACCGACTTTTTTGTCCGACAGGCGCTGCAATGAAAAATTATATAATTAATTCCCTATAATTAATTAATTAATTCTCCGGAGACTCAGGGAAAAGGAAAAATTTCGATACTCTCAAGGGGAGTGTCTCAATTAATTAATTATATATTAAAATAATTAATATTAACTCACAACATTAATCCCGGATGGAGTGAACTCGTAGACTCGAACGGATTGATTTCCATCGGGAAGATCAGTCACGGTGGTGAAGGTATTCCCATCTCTAGTCGTCAAACTCTGAAATGAAAATTTATGGAAAATTCGTATTTTCCAATCGAAAAATTAAAAAAAAATGAGAAACAAACCTTGAGGACAGCTCCATGTGGCATGGTCTCGTCGTAAGGAGTTCCCAGGGTGAATGTTGTCTTGGAGGACTTGCCCTCGTTGGCGACGACGATGGTCCACTGGTCTCCGGACTGGCTGACCTCGAATGTCGGTTTCCCCTGGGCAAATGCTCTTGCTGCCTCCACCTGGGCAGCTCCACTCACCGTCGTCAGGTACTCCTCGAGGTTCTCGCTCGACACATTCTCGTATTTTCCGACGATCGACACCATCTTCAGGGATTATCTTGCGCGCTAGTCGGTACCTCAGCAACGAGTGAACCACCAGAGGCTGATTAATCCTTTTATAACCGAGTGGTCATTATGCAACTCGGGCTGATCCTCGGATTAAACTCTTGGGATCTTTTTTCTTTTTGGTGATGTCTCACTTGTCAATTTTAATCTACAATTGCTACGTGGCTACCACCACCACCACCAATCAACAGTCGTCAGACAGAAATTCCCGGGTTGAGACAAAAAAATTGATAATTTCCCTGATATCGAGGGAATTACGAAATTTAGACGAAAAAGTGATAAAAAATTATATGTAGAATATGAATTTTACTACAAAAAAATTTCTGGACATTTTTTTCTGGCTATCTGCAGTCTCGAGATATTCACAAAAAACCACGACTTCTTTCTTTTCGGATTTCAATTTTTTATTATTTATTCTTTCTCATTTTATTCGCACAATTGAAATTGCGATAATTTCTCTGAAAGAAGCGAATAAAAATATTAAAATGAACAAAAGAGTTGTAGTTGCATAATTGAAGGGGTCAGCATCAATGGTCCAAGTTTTTGATATGAATGGAAGGTCTCATTTACGACGACAATGAGGGACATCGTACGACGACTCAATCAATTTACTCCATTAATTTATTTATTGGATTACCGAGGATTTTTTTCCAGAGGCCGCCGTCCCTAGATCAAGGGAATAATTTCTCCTTTCCCTCGGTGAATTGAACTTTACTTTGATAGATTTGATAATAAAAATTGTGGAGTTTGCACGTCACAATCTCTACCGACGGATATCTCAACGTGTGACGCACCAATCTCAAGATTAAACCGAAAATAATTAATTAATTCTCTGATCCGCAAAAATAAAATTTATCCCAGGGTTCAATCAATTTAATCAATTGATTAATACGACTCCGATGTTTTTTATTCTCATTATTCTATTTTTTTTATCATTTTATCATGTATTTTCGAAATTTCTTGGGGGAATAACAATTAAATTAAATAATAATTAAATAAAAAACAAAAAAATGTAACAACAGTCATTATTTTATTCTCACACACTTTACAATCTTAACAAATACCACATATAATCAGTTCACCGTTATAATCTCTGTATTTAAATCGTGAAAAATAAATAAACATAAATACAAAGTTTTTAAAAAATCGTTACAATTAACACATCGTGACTGTATCGACTAAGTACACTCGTGCATTTAGGTATTCCTGCGCTTATTCTCCCCCTGCATCGTGCATTAATTGCATTAATTGCATCAATTGCATTAATTCAGTTTTTGGCTAGTTTCGATGACGGCGCACCGAGAAAAAAAAATTATTACACAGAAATCAAAGCAATTGATTGATTTTTGAGGAATTATTTTGATTCTCGGGTTGATTTTTGCTTACAGCTTGCACAGGCAGAAGAGGAGGGGTATGAAGGCCCCGATGGCTACGAAAACAGGTAGCATTATCGATGAATCATCGATTGAATAGGGATCGGGGGTTCTGGGGCCGCTGGTGTGTCTGTTTCGGACTGGAGACTCTTCTTCGTCTTCCTGCATCCCGTGGTACTCCTCTGGCTCCTGGGGGATGGGTCCCAACTGAGGAACATCTGTGTGGAAGAATTTTATTGGTCAGGATAATTTTTTATTGATCATTTTCCCGATTATTCAACTCCTCCAATTTTTTACCATCAACAGTCCCTTTGATAACAGCAATAGCATTGACTTTGGGATTGTCTCTGTACCCCTTGATGAATTCCACGCGAATCTTTCCACCTAGGATATCGGACTCCTCCTCGTTGAATATAATTTTTTTCTTCTCCACCCTGAAGGGTACGACCTCGTCGTGGGCGATGCCCCTGCCGACTCTCTCGAAGATGTCAAGATCGGTTACTACTGTGTGATCACCGTTCAGAACAACATCGAAGACTTTCATGTTTGGTGAGTTAAAGTATACTTCGCAGAACTTGAGGACGAGGACGTAGTCACCATCATCGCTGATGGGGATGTCGTAGCCGAAGGTCGAGTGGTGGTATCTGATAAAATTTATTTATTTATATCATGGAGATGAGATCATTCGAAGAATTACCTTTCTGTCTGGTAGAGGATCTGGTCCATGGTGTTGACTCTCCCGATGATCAACTGCTTTCCGTAATCAGAGGCTGTCCCCACCTTTCCCATCAGGGGATCCCGCAGGTACCTCACCCCATAGCTGTCCGTATGGGTCTCACCCCCAGCATTTATAGCGTAAATCACCTCGAGACAGACGCCTTGAGGCACCTCCAAGGAGATAATCAATAATTTCAGAGTTATCAGACTCCAGACTCTCCATCTCATCGTGGAGTCGTTTCTTGGACCCATGACATCTGATTCTCGTTGGATTTTATTTCCTGACGCTCGAAGGCTTGAGTCTCACTCGCATCCTCTAGGTTAGGAAATTAATTGTTTAACGGTTCCTCAATTTAGTCTGGCCTCTGGATAATGATTTTTCTCTGGTGATGATTTTTCTCTCGTCTCCTATCAAATTTTTTCTAAAAATTCGGGGACTCACCTGGAAAATTCGCGGAAATCCAACCCGGTGCAGCCACGTATATATATTCCTGGCATATATATACTACCGTATATACCTCACCTGGTAAAACCTCCGGTTTGCCCGGAGAATTCGTGGGGGCGCTCCAGGAAATTATCGACCATCGAAATTCATTGGTCACTGATAACGGAAATCTCTGCACCGCGAATTTGAATTTTTCCAATAAAAAAACTCCCATTTATAAATTTCGAAAATTATTCATCAACTCTTAATTTAAATTGAATTGTTTATTTATAAAAAATCACTACAAAAAAGAAATTAATAAATTATTGTTTATTTAAAAAATCCATTTACCAATTTTTCATTTGAAAAATCGTTTTTGTTAAAGTTGTGAATAAATTTTTTAATTGATAAAACATTAAATAAATAATAAATCTTTACTGCAAATCCTCTTGACGTCATTATTTTATTCGTATGAATTTTCAAGCTACAAGAAGAAGTACACGTTAATTTAATTCAATAACTCCCAAACCGGAAGTTTATAAACATTCATACACATCCGTACACATACCTAAGTAAAAAATCCAATGATAAAAACCATTTCCTCGTCTATCTAAAACCAAATTTATCTACAATAATTTTATTATCAATTTTTCCCTAGCCTTTGACAATTCTCCGCACCTGGAAATATTCATAAAAAAAAATATTCAATGCAACAAATGAAAATGAAATAAATCGATTCAACAGTCTGTGAACAACAAAAATAATTAATCCATTAACAAATATATCTTAAAAAAGGCAACAGTTTTTTTAAATAAAATCTGTAAAATTATTTGCACCGTGTCCCTAATAAACAACCAATTGTTATCATTTTTATTTATCGAATTTTTAAAAAAGGAATAACAATTATAAATAATAATAGAAGAGCTATTAAAAATTGCACGTGTCTACAGTTTATGTTTAAATAAGTATAGCCTTGATTAAACTATTGCACCTGAATAAATTGGCTCGTTACATTTGTTTTTTTATTTGTTGATTTTACTATTAGTTACGTCTGTAATGCGCATTGCGGGATTAATTATTTATTATCACTTTGTTGTCAAGATGTCAATGTTGTTTTATGCCACGAGGCGCAACGCTCCTCAGACTTTTGATGCCGATAAATTGTTGTCTCTTCCTCATTTTTTTTACTGCAATTAAACAAAAATTGTTGATGAATAATAATAATTAATCGTTCATTAAATTAATTGTAAAAATGAAAAAAACGATTGACTAACCGACAACTGAAGAAAGGTCTCCAGAGTGTGGAGTCACTGCTGGTGACATGCGCCTCTTGTTTGGATCGTCCTTGAAGTCCATCATCGCCGCAGGTCCTGTACTCCCGGGGGATCTCCTCAGAGCCCTGACTGATCCTCTCCCCCGTCCAGGTCCTCCCGATGGCCTCTGCCTTCTCATCGAGGACCTTCTGCAGGTGATCAAGGGAAATAACAAGAAGATCGGGATCTCCGAGGAGTTCGGGCCTAGAAAGCGCCTCAGGAAGTCTCAACTCAGGATGAGAAATCAGGAGTTGAGGTATTTCAGTGGCAGGATAAGCCGCGAGCACCGGGAGTCGACACCTGGGTACGAGGAGTGGATCAGGAATGGCATCTCCACACCTCTCGATGAGATCCCGAAGTTGTTTGGCGGGTCTAGCGATGGCTTCCTGGCGCTGCCAATCGTTGGGTCTGATTTTAATCAATCCAGGAGTCGCTCGTCTCTTCCGGAGGCTCGTCCTGGCGTCCTCGGAGCACGTAACGAGACAAGGAGGACTGTCAGAGGTCTTGACTCTCGTCAACTTATCCTCCATGGAATTCTTCCAGACGATGGGCTTGAGGGGTGGTACATCGGGCCTCTCCACTTTGTGAGGTACAAACACCTCGGACTTGAAGGGCATCATCTCCCTCTCCTCGATCTTCCCATCCTCCGACGAGTGGTCGTCCTCGTACTGAAACACCTCGATACTCTCGTCGATATCCTTGTCCTCGCTCTTCTCCTCGATCTCCTCGATGAGCTCATCCTCGCTGCAGTCAAACTCCTCGTGCTTGAAACCATCACTAATTTGATTATCAACATTATTTACATCGTCCTCTACCATTTCGATATCATCATCGAGACTGGTGCATTTGAATCGATTGACAGAGAACAATCTCCCAGGACTGAGAGGCTCCAGGAGCACCCGGGGCTGAAACAGCTGATCCTTCTGCACCTTCTTGAGGTCCACGAAGAGTCCCTTATTAAATCCTTTGGGATTCTCCGGAGAGTTATCATCGCCATCGCCATCGCCATCGGTGTCAAATCGATATTCATCACAACTATCGATCTTCTCGATTTGACTCTGCCTCCGGGTCTTGGGGTTGTCATCGGACTCGGAGGTCACCGACGTGGAGTACGACGAGATGGAGCAGGACGACGGGGAAAACGGCACTGATGAGCCAGAGCACGTCGAGAGAGAAGAGGAATTGGTGTTGTTTGTTAAATTGTAGTCGACCCTGCAGGACATCGAGCTGTAGACGTTGCTGAGTGTCCTGGGGATCGATCTCCAGCCCTGAGCCGTTTTAGTCAATTTTATTCGATTCCTTTTGTCGTAGTCCTCGCACCGCACCTCGATGATCCTCTGCTCTCGTTGAAGGGCCCAGAGAAAAATCGGATTGACCTTCGGACGCTTCTCCACGTCCGTCTCCTCGTGCTCCAGGTGTTGCTTCGGGCAGTCCTCGCTGGAGTAGTCCGAACCCTTCTGGTAGTCATTGTGACAATAATTCCAGGATCGTCTTCTGGTGGGTCTCACCGGTCGGTGTCTGTGGTGATGGTGGTGGTGATGATGGTGATGGTGGTGATGATGGTGGTGACGGTTCTGACGATTCTGACGTCGTCGACGGGGCAGCTGGCCCCTGGTGGGGGCAGTGCTCATCACTCCATTAAATTCAAGATCGTCGACCTGATAACCATCTACTCCGAGGTGAATATCCCGCACTTGCTCATCATCGTGTCACTATTACCGATTATTACCGATTATTTTTGCGGACTTAGGTGTGGCTACCTGGGGATTTATGCCAGTCGCGTTTCGCTGGATCGATTCATCCGGAGGTTCATCCTTCGATTAAAACGCGACACCTCGTCACGATGTTCAATAATTCCCCGGGACACGCGAAATATCGAGGAGTCAATTTTTCAAACGCGCACCACCAGATTTATTCACCGATTTTTTTCAATTTTTTTTTATTTTTTTGATTTTTTTGCGGATTTTGGTGGGGGACAATTGTGCACAGGTGAGACGATTTTTCCGGGGAAATCACATAACGCGGGGGAGGGAATTTTTGAAATTTTGGAAATCGTGGAAATGGTGGAAATTCGGGGAAAACACTGGGTTGTGGTCAAATGAAATACTGATTTGTCAGAGTCGGTAGTTTCTACTTGCGTTACTACCATTACTCTCCCCCCCCCCCACCCCCTCCCCTTGACGGTGAACTCTTGTTAAAGTGAGTACATGGTATATATGTACGTGAGGAATCGTTATTGAAACGCGGGCGTGCGCAATCGCGCGAGTGCCCACTGCGCACGTCGCGCGCTACAAAAAAATTCCGCGAGTGTTTGTTGAGGGAAAATATTTATTAGCGTCTTGATGAATAGCACGAGATTTTTATGAATAAATATTCGCGACTCGTGACGCGAAATCGAGGAAATAAATGGCGCGATTTAATTAATCGCTAACACGCGGATTTTTAAATAATTGGAAAATTCAATTGAGAGCGATTATTTTTTTCAGGGATTTTTTTTATGAGGAAAATTGCAGGAGGAAAAATAGTCCGAGGGGAAGAACAATTTTTTATTTATTTTCTAATTGCAGCATCAAAATCCCAATTAATTAATTGAGAAATTAAATTAAATGAGAACAAGGGGATTTAATAAAAAAAGGATAAGATTAAATATTTATTGTTTATATTTATATTTATTGTTTATATTTATTATTTATTATCAAGTAATACACATTATCAAGTCGTTGAAAAATGGAAAGTTGAAGATTTTTTTATAAAAGTCCGACGTAATTTTCCAGAAGCATTAATTATTCCATACGTAATGAATTCTCATGTACACTGGACATACCATAATGAGAGATTAAGGAAAATCTCGATTGTCTCGAGTTTTTTTATCCCGTTACGCGTTTTAAAAATTCTCACAAGTCCTGGGAGTGCACGTAGTTATCGGGAATTCCGGTGAATAAATTCCTCTCGCTTTCAAAAATATTTTCGCAGTGACTCGATCCACTAATTCTCGACGTGTGGGTGAAGAAAATCGACATCATCTGCACGGCAGAAGAAAAATCGCCATCGCGCGTCATTTCCTCCGTCAGAATGACGCAAATTTTCCCAAATCTCTTATCTCTTATTTTTTCCTTCGAACCGATTTATTTATTTATCCTAAATAAATTAATTCACTCCAATTATTTTTTATTATCATTTATTAAATTTTCTTATTGTTGTATTCACCGTTTTTTTTTTCTGATTTTATTTTATATTTTCATTTAAATCCCCCACTCCAGGGATTCCCACTCTAGAATCTAGAGTCTAGATATAGCGGTCGCAGGAAATCACCAGAGGATTCAGTCGGTTCCACGCGACGGAAGAGATCGCACGTTTTTTTCAATTCCTCCAGAAAAAAAATCAAAATGAAAAGACAAAAAACAAAAAGATTTCCCCTGAAATGTCAATTTCCAATTTAACTCATTACATTATCATTATTTTAATTAATTAATCGAGTTCTGATCAAGTGATTCAAATAAAAGTTGTACCAGAATTTTTTAGTAGAAAAATTATTCAATGAGAAATCAAGGAGAAGGATGTGAAATAAATAATATAATAAATAAAAAGTGAGAGTTTGAGTGACAATTGAATTTTGGGAGAGGGGAATTGCCTCGTGGAATTCGGGTTTTTACGCGGGAATTCGCGGAATTTCTTGGGGAATAATTAAGACGATGATGGGTGATCAATGTGAGGGGATTGGAAGGACTAGCCGGTTTTCAGGATTTTTTTTTTATCTTCTGGTTTTGATTCTTGAAAGCACTTCCGCCTCTGGAGAAAAAACAGCAGCACCTGGAATTCATCAGATCTCGCTGGTAAGTTATATTATTAATTTATTAATTACCATTTTCAATCAGAAAAAAGGAGTAATTGAATTACAGGGGAAAATTTTTGCCTCATTCAGGTACCGCGAAATCAGGTCATCGATTTCAAAATCGATTTTTTCCCCGCCAAATGTGTATTCCATCTTTGTCGTTGAATTAATCATTCTGCAAGGGAAATACCGAGATTTTCGTAATGACCTTTTTTCTAGATCTTGATTCGCTCAATAAAAATGGTCATTACGAAAATCTCGTTATCTGTCTTAGATTCCGAGATATCAAGGTAAAACAGAGAAACCGGTAAAATCGGTTGACGAGTTCTTGTCGTGAATTAATTTTCTCGAGTGCTTACCTTCCCCCAGTAATTACCGGACACAATTATTCATCGAATTTCACACGAAAGTCCCATGGACGAATGGTCGACGTAAACCCGTCGTCTCCTTGGCCGTTGATTATTTTTAGAGTACAACTCGTTCTGAACTATCGATTCGCATAAATACACTAGATTTTTCGAGTTGGTGTCGCCAGATAAGGCGCGGCCCCTGAAATTTCGATGGCAATGATATCGATATCACTGATAAGACATGGCGATCCGCTGACTCATTATCCAATAGATCCTGATTATTTTTTCCAGAATGATTCAATCGCAGAACCATTTCGACGACTTCCGGTGGTTGGGAAATGCTGTCCGATCAACGAGATCCTGACGAAAGATCGGGATGGAAGGACTGTCTGTCGAAATCTCAATTCAACCCTCGAACCAATAATTTTCTCTCCGTACTTCAGCGATTTCAATAAAACTGGAGTTCTAGCTCCAGGAGATGAGAAGACGCATTTTGTCGCCATCGTCGGGGATCCCTGCCGATTCAAAAAGTTCATTCATTATCATTACTCATTTTTTAATAATAATAATGAGGACACACCATTGATTAATAGGATAATTAACAATAAATTAATCCCTAATCGCTGGAACCCGAGGAAGTAATGTTTTATTACGCAATTTGAAAAAAAAATTGAAGGTTTTGCCCCAGGAGGAGAAGGGGACAAATATTCGAGATCCTTGACTCTTCAGGAAGTCAGCTAATGGACTCGGCTTATCTGATTAGCAATTAGCACGTTGGAGAAGACAGTGGGATGGAATTACGCAATACGAATTTATCTTGTCTCTCAATTGTGATAAGGATATTCTTTAGTTTTTTAAATGATTATCCACGTACTAGGCTAGTTGACTCGATACCGAGATCTTTTGTGGTAAAACCCATCAATATTCAACAATAAAAAGCCAACCCAATAAATGAGAATAGCAACAATCTGAATTCTCCCTGAATTAAATTTTATTTTTAATAGTTACGGAATTTTTAAGCTGATGATTCAGGAATTTTTTGTGCTCGACTTGATGACCGGAAGAGCCTCGGTTTCTTCTTCCTGGAAAATAGACAATTCTAATAGCTATTTTCCTCGGGAAAAATCTTGAAGCATTAAACGATATTGTTTACAACAGGTACATGCTGGAGCCCGAGGTAACGAGTGACGATGAACATTATTTACTCTTGAATGGATCTATTTTCGGTCCACATCACATCCCATCGATGCTCTCTCCAGGGAGGGATTACTGTATGGAGGTAATACCTGATTTGGGACTGAGGACACTAGTCTGTTTCCAAGAAGGTAAGATTTCAAGGATGTAAGTCCAATAATTGCCATTCAAAATATTAATACGCAATTGAATCGTTTTCAGAGGAGCAGAAAAAAACTGGTGACTTTCGACTGACGTTTTATGCCTGTGGACTTTTAATTTCTGTTCCCTTTCTGGTTCTCACGATCATCGCCTACTGTATAACTCCCAGATTGATGGATGTCCATGGAAAATCCCTTTGTCATTATTGCGGCTGTCTAGCTGTGGCTTTTATCGCTCTGGCCATTACGCAATTATCCAGTAATCACTTGAGTGATGAAATGTGTATTTCGACAGGTTTGTGCCTCTTCAAATATTCCCACGATTTTAATTCAATTGGTAAATAAATATAAATAAATCCACAGCATTTGTTATTCAATTTTCGTTCGTCGCCTGCTTTTTCTGGCTGAATGTCATGTGCATCGAGACTTATATGCTCGCCAGGAGGTACATGACCAGTGGTTGCTCAGCAGCTCATGAACCTCAGCGATTATTTTTTTATTATTCCCTCTGGGCTTGGTCACCACCAGCTATCCTCATCATCGTCTCCATGATCATGGATCTGAGCCCCACTGTACCCATGACCTACATCAAACCGAATTTCGGCTCCCAGAGCTGCTGGTTCCAATGTGAGTATTCATCCTTTTATTTTATCTCAGGAATTATTTATTACTTCTGCCATTTTTTGAAGATTATTATTTGCAAAATATATTAAAAAATATGGAAATGTTCAATTTTGAAATTAAAAAAAACCACGAAATCTCATCAGCTGACGTGGAGGCGATGCCATACTTCTACGTGCCAGTGGGTCTTCTCCTGGTATCGAATATTGCGCTCTTCACAATGACAGCAGTAGCGATAACCCGTCACCAGCGAGACCTGGACCTCCGTCGACTGCGTCAGGACAGAGAGACGAATCGCGACGAGCGTCGTACCCTGGGTCGACTGAAACGTCTCTTCCTGGTGTGCCTGAGCCTGTTTTTCCTGATGGGTATGAACTGGGCGATGGAGATAATCTCCTGGTGGGCAGGTGGTGATCCCCTCGCGTGGTCAGCCTTCGACCTGGTGAACGCCCTCCAAGGAATCCTTGTCTTCGGTATTTTCGTCCTGAGAAAACCAATCAGGCACCTGGTGTGGTACGAAATTCAGAAAATTCGAGGTGTCGAGGGAGCTGAACCCGAAGTCGCCAGCATGGACCGATCACTCCTCACTGTCCTCAACATCGACGCCATCCCCTCCACCCAGAGGATGCTGTGAGGACCAATCATCGCTTCAGATTAAATTCAGAGTGTCCTTTCAGGTGGACCTGAAACTCCAGAATTCTGGAAAAAAAATCTTCCATTTCAAGTGCCTTAGAACGATTGCCTCAATTCCATTTATTTATTTATTTATTTATTTTTATATCTCAAATAATTCCATCATTTGTATTTCCTTATACAGATAATTTATTAATGATTTATGTAAATTTACCCCTGTCCTAGTCAGTATTGCACACGCAGTGCAGTGGGCGATTGCTACTTGTAAAGTAATAAAATAAAGTACATCTCATTTTTATTTCATCATCGATAAATCTATATAAAATTATGTGGACTCCATTTACCCGATGTATCTTACACGGTGAGACAAAACAAATTAGCTAAATTGCAGTAACAATATGAAGGCAGGTACCCAATTACTTTGTTCAATTACTGTATGAAATAATTAAATAAAACGACATGGCCTTTTATAAAAAAGCGATGGTTCATTCTATAGAATTTTTTCATACGTGAATTCAGCAATGACGGGATAAAATACTATCTCTTCCCCTCTCAACTGCTGAATTAATTACCCAGAGGATTACTCCCCCGGGTTCAAGCTCTTCTGTGACCTGGGAATGGTGGACTCATCCCCAGGACCCCGACGATATCTCCGGACTGAGTAACGTACACCAGACGATACATTCCTGGGGCCCTCAGGGCGCTGTCACTGAAATATATTCTCTCAGTTATCGTATTATTTCTCGCAGACGATATGTCCACGTCAGATTTTCCTCGACCGACATATTCATAAACGAGATATTCGTCGAGGGAAGTGAATCCCTCGTGGAAGAGGCCAATCCAGTCTCCAGGTGATGCCTTGAAGTCCCCCCTCAGGGTATACCCAACAGAATTCTCCTGGTCCACGATCCAGGCAGTCACTGGCTGGAATTCAACTCCATGATCCTCACAATTTGGTCTGATCTTTATGGTGAACTCTGCACTCACTGGTTTGTGATCCGACTGCACGTAATTCGGATGACTCCTGTAATTTTTTTCTACAGCTTCTAATTTAATGCCATCGTACACGTCAGCATTAACTTTGTACAAAATTCTGTCCGTCCAGGATGGGCGACGTTTGAGATCATATTCTTGCGATGAAAATTCGAATTTGTAGGTCGGGGGAAATTCAACGGCTTCTTCAGTGAATTCTCCAAAGGCATCTCCACTCTCCATCGCGATATTCAGCTGATCTCTGCTCAGCAGGCGCTTCAGCTCATTCTTTTTCACTAGGTTGTCTATGATTTCTGCTGTGAGATCTTCCCCGTTCAGACGAAAATTCAGATCACCGATCCAAAAAATGTAGTCATGGTAGAGGATATGTTGTGTTTCAGGTACTTGAAATGCATGTTCTCTGAGAATAGTATTGTAATCAGCAATTCTATCAGCAAACAGGTGATCATGGGGTGTGAGGTGGGTGTTGACGACGCAAATGTTGACACCGTACATGTTAAATCGAACACTCACTGCGCCCTTGTTACCCCACATCCCACCGAGGCCAGTCCTCGTGTACGTGGCCTCGATGTGCCTCAAGTGCGTCAAGTGCTTTCGTAAACAGAAAACATTGAGGACCAGTCCCTGGAGCCTCTGGGTGCGGACTTTAATGTAATCGTATCCCTTCAAGGACTCCTTGAAGCTCTTCGTCCAGGGATCCTCGAACAACATGTCGATCACCATATTCTGGGGTTGGGACTTCACCTCCTGCAGTCTGAACATCAAAATTATCCACCAATTGTCAAGATTAAAAACAATCTGTGAGTATGTGAATGTTTCGTAGAAAATCAAAGAATAAAAATAAAAATCCAGCAATTTCTCTCGCTCACCCAATGACGTAGAAATCAGGCAGTGACTCAGGATCAGGTCTGTCGATCCCCAGCATGTGACGTGGATCTTCCTCGGGGAATTTCGTAGCAACATTGTAAGTGACGAAGTACAATCTATTAAAACAATCAGGTGAGTGTAATTGTTATTGCATTTTCATTATTGTCGGACTAACCTCATCAGGCTGAGCTGGGCTGCCATGTTTACGGAATTCAGTGGAGAAAAGCTGTGGATTCATCGAGGTCATCCATGGGAACTCTTGACCATTACCCGAATAACATTCACTGGACTTTCATCCGGGATATGACTACAGTTATCACTCGGATTGTGACGTTTCTACCTGACGCTGAATCCATCCTTTTTACTAAAGCTGTCTCTCTTTTTTTGGAGATCAGACAGTCTCTGTCGATCAAGACGAAAACTATGTCCTTTTTTTTCTGAATTATTTATCACGAAAGGAAGAATAAACTTCAGAAGAAACTCTCTATTCAATTACTCATGACCTTGGAAGAATACGAAATTGAAGTCATCATAAAATTATTAATAATAAAAATCATTGAACAATCTCGGACCATCCTCCATAGCAATAATAAATAATTACCAATATAAAATTTCTCTCGTCTTTATTGAATCCTCGATCACATACACGTATGAGCGTATAAAAATAGAAAAAAAAATAGAAAAAATACATTCATTCATTAAGCATAATGACTTTTCGTAGAACTATCTCCAATCAGCTGGGGGAAAATTCAGTAGATCATGCCAGGGTGGGCGCGTTGGAAGAATACATTGGGATTGGCTGATAGTGTTGTGTAAAGATTGGCAGCATCCAGCTCTGAATCCGGGATGTACATTCCGTGAGGCAGCACGAAAGTCTCCAAAGGTGCCTGCACATCTGCGAGGACAAATTAAATAAATAAATTCGTTCATGTCTGAATATTTTCCGATATCCTGCCCAGATTCGGAGATACTTACCTTCAGAATAAACTGGACTATTCCCGTGTCTGCAAGCATTGCACCCAGGTATTGCTGAAGAGACCAGAGCAATTCGATCTGTCATGGGGAAAAATTATAATTTTATTACCATGACATTCGTTGATTTTTTATTTACGTTCATTTTATTTATTGTTTACGTAAAAATACCAGTGCTGTGATAATCAATTTTTCGTTTGAAAGTGCCGCCGTCAGCTGGTTTAAAATGAAAAAAGGAATAGCCGCTGCCAGGTAGGGAGCTCAAGTGGTCCTCATCCCGATCCCTCCTCCCGCCAATTCTGTCGTTCCTCATGACAACACTGGGGATTCCCCCGGGTCCCTCTCGTCCCAGTGCTGCCAGCTGTCGACCCTTCGGCAAAAACATTGTGAGAAAGAGGACGAGGGAGGTCGAGAGGAGGCCATAGGCCAGCCAAGCCTCTCGATCGTGTTCACTTGCGATTATCGTTCCGATTGCACTTGTCAACCAGATGGGAATTGTCAGACCCACCGCGATACCGATGAAGGCCGCCTCTCGGTGATTATCCCGGATCCCACGGGCCCGAACTGCTAGACCTGCCACCGCCAGCAAAAGAACCGCTGGATAACTGAAAATTATCCCTTCTGCAATTTTCTGAGGTAAATTACGAGGAATATCAAAATTTTGGTCAGAATCTTTTTTGTAGCTCTCGTGCAGCCCCACAAAAAAGATCATATCAAAAATAGCGATATCTCTCTTGGATTCGGGAGTAATTAACAACAATTCCATTCACCTCAGGGAGGCAACAGTCTGGCCAATAGGTGTCTTACAGCATGTGTAATGAGACTGAATACTTGCGGCTGTCTGGAGCTTCTTTGTCCCAATGCTGCACGGTCGAATAACGTCCGGTATTTCACCGTAAAACCACTGACCGACAATTGCAACTTGAACGAGCACAGCGAAGAGTAGAACGAGGGCCTTTCAAATTAATTACAACGATCATCACCTAATTCTCATTAAGAAGCAATTGGAGACGTATCGATGTAATCTGCATCGACCAGTTATTTATTCTTGTGCATTATTTGATTATTTGATTATTTGATTACTGACCTGATAAGGCGCTGGGAGATAAATTCCGCTGTTGAGAGAAAGCAAGAATACGCACTTGACGAGTAGAGCAGCAAATACGAGGGCCGCTGGTAATCCAACTAGTCTAAATGCTGCACACGATAGGGGATTTGGAGCAAGTGAAGCAGCTGCTGATAATCCCGCCATCATAAATAGTCCCAGGAGGAGAGCTTGACCCAGGAATAGGTGACGTCTGTTGGGAGCAGCTGCCCTTGCCTATTTATTCATTAGCCTATTTATTATAATTATACAACCACTGGACTACCAAAATTGTTTGAATAAGGCGTTACAGATTTTAATTTTTTTTTTAAATTATTTATTCACCTTGAGTAAGACGAAAATCTCGAAAACCGCCATGAGGAGCATGACCGCTGCACTGAGAGCGGCCAGTGGTAAGGCCCAAGATCGCTCCCTCAAAACATTTTGATAAAAATTGGAATGTGGTGCTCCGGGGGTGAATCTGGTATCCTCGACGTATCCTACATTCCTGGTGGGATGACTGATTGAGATTGTCCTGTTGGGTGGCGGTACGTTGATAACACTAGCGACACTTCCAACACTGTTATTCCCTCCGACCGCTCCCACATCCGGAATAACAAAAAATTCAGTGGACAATTCAGCGGGATTCCGCCGGATCAGTCCGATGGTTCTCATAGTGGTGGTCCCCGTGGAGAGGCCTATCATCATCTCGTACGCACTATCAGGCCCATCCGCCGTGGCAGTACGACCGCCCAAAACCGCCACCGCCGAAAACACGATGGGACTCACTCGCATGATTCCCAATTTCTTTTTACAAAGTTCGTATTAAATTTCTCCAGAACCGCTGATACCGCCCGCACCATCACCGACCGCCCGAATCTCCAGCGGTTGACTCTTGCCGGTGTCGCAGCATTTTTTCGCCTTGCTCGGGCCCAATTCTTCACGCTCAGAGAAAAAATACTGTTCATCAGTGGAGGAAGTACTTGTTGGCAGGACTGAGCGGTTCTGAGGAGTTCGGGACTTGTGGAAAATTATCAAAATTCTTAGTACTTGGGCCCAGCGAGAAAAGTCAATGGCTGACTCGTCCTCTGTCTGCAATTCTCGTAGCAAGTAGTAAAAGTACCTCCTGCACACTATTTTTACTTGTATCAGGCATTTCTGGAACGTTTCACAGATGAACTTCTCCAAAGTACCAGAACTCCAGTAAAGTACTTTCCTCAGAATAATCCAAGAACTCCAACTTTTTGATATGTTCACAGAAATGCGCAAACTCCGGGAGTTCGATCCCCGGTATTTACGGAATTTAAAGGATTATTCGATATTTGATGGATAAATTAATGGAGAAAATGGGCTAGTGGCGAGTAGAGCACGGAGAGATGTTGGCGGTACGGCATGGTGGCCGCTCAACGAGGAACTACGGTTGGGGCCTGGCTGGCCTATCCGTTACGGCCCAAAGAAGCCGAGAGTGGATGTTGCGACGATGGGTACTTGTTTAAGAGGAGAGAAAAAGAGAGGATTGTCTTCGAAGGGCTATCGTGTGTGGGTACGGGTTTTATGGGCGGGGGCGCGAGGGGCCCGGGGGCCCAGGGGGAGTTATAAGACCGAGGGAATGAGAAGAAAGTAACCGCCCAAACCGTCGGGCCCATTTACATACGGAGGGGGACAATAACCCCGGCATTGCAATCATTTGGCTTTTTTTTTTTATTATTGTTTATCAGTTTCATTTTTTATTCTTCCGTGGGCCCGTCGATGGCGGCTCATTTTTTTCCCGGTATTTTCATCGAATATCGAAATTTCTAATGAATTCGTAATTATATTGCCCTGAATTTTCTCCGCTCATCATTTATTCATAAATTTTTTATGGAGATTCATGAATTTCGGAGACTTTCACAGGAAATTCATTAATATAATTATTAAAACTGTTAATTAGTGGCTTATCTCGAAAAAAATCGGACTACTCGAATTATTCAAATTGCAATTGGAATTACTAAAAAAAAATAATTACGATAAAATATTTCCACGATTTTTTTTGGGAAAATCGAAGTCATGAGTTTTTCCTTCAGGAATCGGTGGGATTATTGGCGAAAAAAAATTTCTCCCTGCTCTTCGGCACTGGAGTATCCACTGGAAATATTCCAGGAACCCTAAACCACTGGAGATCCAGTGATTTTTTTTAATCCTGTCAAAATGCCCGGGTGAATAACCGGTTTTCAAAACGAGTCAAATAACGTTCGATGCAGACAGCGCAGACACGCATAATCAAACATGTTGGGTACCGTGGGCGGATTAAAATTCATTTTTTATTTTTATTTTTGCCAATCGAGTTATGAAACACGTGACAATGCGGATGTGTAGCGGGATTTCCCGGTAATATTGACAATTCACAAAAATCCGCGGAAAGATAAAATAGAAATTTTCAATTAACGCGGAAAAATATTTATCTTCATTAAATTACACTTTAAATTCATTCGATTCAATATTAAGCACTCGCAATCGCATGTCTTTCCGATTGTTCATTAATTTAATTTGTTATTTGGAAAATAATTTGTTGTCTCAAATTTTCTCAATTCTTCTCTCAGTTTCTAACACTCCAAGGATAAAAAACCATAATAAAGATAAAACAGGATGGATATGCCGTCCCTGGAATTTGAATACCCGTCGATCTGGCTTTCATTATTTATTTTCTCACCATTTTTTTTACTACCTGGAACTTATTCTGATCAGTCCCCCATTTTTATCCAGTGGAGTGACACATCCGCTCGTTTTTCTAGACGTAAAACGCAATTCCCTGGTGATTTTCTAAATTTTTGCTAGCTGTCAGTTTTTCCGGTGAGAATCTCCAAATTTCCTGGGACCTATCGATTTTCATTTAAATGAATCCTCTGAAATTCATATTAAAAAAACGGAAAGTCTCTATTTTATCGTAAAAATAGTCAATTTCTTTCACCTAGTGATCCTATAAATTATTTATTATTGTTTCTCCATGAAATTCGAATATAAATAATGGATTTCCCGGTGTGGAGTCACGGAAAAGTAATTTTTGTTGAGTACTTCAGGGAGTCGACGGGAAAGTGACGAGTTGAGAGGAAAAATATTTTGGGAATTACGATGGAACGGTTGACTGACCATGACGAGGCTGTCCTGGAGGCTATTTTCGATCCGCTCCAGCTAATGTCCGACGCAAATAGAACTCGATCTGATGAGCTTCACGTCGATCCAAACGGTACCGTTACCTCCCATCTCCATCGATTCATCGATTTTTCCATGCACTCCAAAAAATCCCAAGAAATCCAAAATTTAATCAATAAAATTCCCCCGTACAATTAATTCTTCATTTTCATCAATTCAATTTTCTCCAGATCTTGAGAGATTATTTATTTTTAAACAGAAGAAGTTAATGAGGAAATTCTAAAGCTCGTGAAATTGGGGATTGAGACAGCGGAGGCAGGGGGCATCGACGAGGCCCTCAAGATCTTCGACGAGGCCCAAAAAAAGGCCCCAGAGGACGCGGGAATTTTGAACGACCGAGCGCAGGCCCTCAGACTCGCCAATCGCACAAGCGGTAATTTCCCGAGAATTTCGGGATGGAATTATTTCCGTTTACCAATTCTTTACTGAATTACAGAGGCCCTAGAAAATTTAAACAAGGCCCTGAAAATGACGGGATCCCGAGGAAGAGTAGCCGGTAAAGCCCTGTGTCAGCGAGGTCTTCTCCATCGCCTGGAGGGTCGTAATGATGAGGCGAGAAAGGACTTCGAAGAAGCTGCAAACAATGGATCGACTTTCGCTCGTGCTCAGCTGGTGCAGCTCAATCCTTACGCCGCAATGTGCAATGCCATGCTCAGGGAAATTAATTACAAGTCCCAATAAAATCCGTAATTTTCCATAATAACACCGTAATAATAATAAAGATATAATATATAATATTAACAAAAAAAGTAAAAGGTGGCTCGTTGATTTAATTCTCGAAAAGTAACGCAAATAAAAATGACGACTTGTTATTCTTCTGATATCTGATAAATAACGAAAGCCTTTCGATTTCAAAATCATCAATAATATCGTATATTAATTATATTCTCTAGCTATTAATCATCATTGGGCTTATTCACATGATAATACAAATAAATATTATTTCTCATAATAAATTCATTTAATGCACCTACCCACAATTTAAAAATTACCATAAATTGCTCAGACATTCTCTTCTTCAATGCACATTCGATAAAGAATTTTTAAAATTTATTGATTACAATTGAGGTCTTGCAGTAATTTTTTTATGGGCATTTCAGTGCAATATTAATAAAAAAAATAATAATTTAAAGTGGAATTTAACATTTTTTATTTTTTCATCGTGTTTTTAAATCGATCGTACGAGGAAAGAAAATGTTTTCAAAAATAATTGTTCAAGGTTTTTTCCAGTGCTTGTAGAAATTTCCAAAACGAATAAAAATTCAGTTTTTGTTAGATTTTCCTGCAAAACCCCAATTTTTATAGATTGCTCTATTATAAATGCAGTATAGAGCAGAGATGAGTTGACGAGTAGTCGCCACTTGAATTTTTCGTACCCAACAATTCAATTTTGAAACTGAATTTCACCGCTGGGACTCGTCAAAAAGTCTGTAAAAGCGAGATGTAATGGCTGACCTGGGGAATCTACTTCTCCTCGAGCTCTGGATGCTGTACCATTTCAAAGTCTTTACCAGTATTGGATTTTTCACTCTCTGATCCTTCCTCACCACTTGCCTCGTCCTTTTCCTCGGACTCCTGATCCTGGGGCTCCTGTGGGAGCAGAGGTTTCTCCTCAGTTCCCTGATTAGCTCCCTCCTCGCCATCCGAGTCCTTCTCTTTCCTCCTCTTCTTCTTTTTGTTCTTCTTATCACTCCCAGGTCCGCAGTACTCATACTGATAAAGGGGCCAGAAAGATGCGAAGAAGCCGACGTCCTCAGCGAGATTCGGTAGAAGCCAGAAGTGATGTCTACCGAAGGTGATTACCCAGAGGATGCAGAAGACAACGACTCGTAGCAGAGCTAATGCTAGAATAAATACGAAGAAACCAGCAGCTGCAACACTGAGATAATAAACACCATTTCGTATTGTGAGGGGCCAGAGTGGGAAGAGACAGACGGCGATTGCCCCGAGGACAACTAGAGTGCCGAAGAACCAGTAGTACACGGGGATGGGTTCGTAGATCCAGACGTAGGCGTCATTGCAGTCAACGAAATACTGCTCCATGTGCATTTCGAGTCGCACTTTAGCTCCTTTCTTGGGTTCTTTCTCCTTGGTCTCTTCTTCTTTGTCCTCTGTAGTCTCTTTATCCTTTTCCTTTTCCTTGTCCTTGTCCTTGTCCTTGTCTTTATCTTTCTCCTTTTCCTTTTCCTTTTCTTTTTCCTTTTCTTTTTCCTTTTCTTTTTCCTTTTCCTTTTCTTTTTCCTTTTCTTTTTCCTTTTCTTTTTCCTTTTCCTTTTCTTTTGTGCAACAATCTTTTCCTTTTTTCTTCATGGCTCGACGTTTGTTGAGCTCCTCCTCGGTAAGAGCTATTTTCTTAGCCCTGTGGAAGAACTTGTGTCTCAGCATCGTATCCAGGAAGTCCACCACGTGCTCCCTCGTCTCGAATAACGTTTTGTTCCAGGGGGAGGTCTCCAGGAGGGCAGTGACAGCACGCGAACCAGTGAAGTATTCCACGTTGTGACTGACGAATTTAGTCTTCTTCGAGGGTACATTCTCCCGGATCCACTTGGCCACTGCGTACTCATCCTTGCTTGGCTTGTCCGCTGATGATTTACCACCTGGAGCTTCCTGAAGAAGATAATTTTCGTCGGGGAGAGGTTTTTTTTGTAGGTGTTTACGTTTTATAGTGAAATTAATATTTTTTTTCCGCAGTTCTTGGGAGATATCTCGGAACCTGGGGGAGATAGCGGGATTTTTCGCAGAACCTTTTTTGTTAAGCAAAGTGAGATCTTCAAAAAATTCCCCACGAAGTTTCCTCTGTCTCCCCCAGGTTCCGAGATATTCAGGGAAACCTCATCTCTCAGGGAATCAATTCCCCAAAAAAATGATAATCTTCAATTATAAATAATTTTTGAGTGACATATTCGAGGAAAAAAATTCCTATGCCATTCAAAAGATCGTCTTTCCTTCTCCAAAACGCAACCCGACCCATTGAAACGATCCCATCCACTGCTGCAATACCTGCGTCTCATTCCCACAAAACCGTTATGTCTCCTCATTTAATCCCAACCCAAGAGTCGAGTGAAAATTCATAAAAAAAATTCTCCTGGAAAATCCAGAAAATCCTGCAACAGACGTCACAGCCTCTGCACCCGTGGCAGCTGCTGTGGAAATAATCTGCCAACGTGTTCCTCCAATTGTTATTATTAACAACAAATGGAGAGTGCGTCTGATCTACGGAAAATAATAATTAATGCAAATTCATCACTCACGTCTTTACGCTTTTTGTTTCTCCTTCGCTCTGCCATATTGTGAATAATTCCCTGTGGCAAGCAGCTGTCGTTGACTCTGAATTTTTATGCTGCCACGCGTTAGTCGTGCAGATACAGAATTATTTTCACGGTCAACACAACAGTTGTTCATGTGAGGAAAGAGAGTGAAGTTTTGGAGTGATGGAAAACGTGGGGTTAGGAAAAAGGAATCTCTCCCTTCCCCTTCCCCGAGTGTTTATGACGTACACCTGACTCTCGGACCAATCAGAAAATTTCCACCATTTTGTTGAATCCTTTCAATTTATCAATTAATTGACTTTCGATAATTAATTAATAACTTAACAACCGATAGCAACAACTCCTAATAATTTGATTGAAGCTCTTCAATTATTCAAATAAATTCCAATATTATCCCACCACTCATTAAAATAACAACAATTCAATTTATTTATTTTTAATATTAAAGATTAAAAATTTTTTCCAATTTTCAGGTGATGTTCATGTTGCAAAAAAAAATACTTCCATTTTTCAAAAAACCGAGTGAAAAAATTTTGAAGAAATCCGAATTTTCCGCCGTGAACGCCATGGAAACGCGGCAAAATCTGAAAAATAGCAAAAACGTACGGCGGGAGACGCTACAGCAGCCATTTTTCTCGTTACTTCTTTAGTGTTCGGTGTAAGGTTGGTTTTGTCATACCGCGGGTGTTCACTGTCGCTACCTCGAGGAAATTAACCGCCCCGACGATTTATTAAAGTGTTTAATAGTCTCAAAATAAAAAAAAATCCGCACAAATGAAGATGGTCGATAAAATTGAGATGAGCCTGGACGATATCATCAAACAAAATAAGGGCGGAAGAACCCGTGGCAGTGCTGGAGGCAGAAGGGGACGTGGAAATGCCACTGGTACATCCCCAAGACGTGGAGCAAGAGGCCAGAGGGCAGGAGGTGGAGTGATGAGAGGACGCAGTCGTGGAGGCATTTCCAGAACATCAACACCTTACACGAGGGTAGGATTTTCAGCTTCTCGGATGACTTAACCTAGAATATCTTCGCGTCCTTTTCAGGACCTCCAGACCCCCCTGAATCATCCCTTTCTCTCCCCAAAATCCCACGCCTCTCACGTTTCCTCATTGATTACTGAATATCTCAGAACACCACGATGCGATTTCAGCGGGCCACCTCTCATTTTGAAGATCTTTTCCAACACCTGAAAATGGCGTCAACCTCGTTGAATTGCACTCAACGCATCTCGAGATATTCCCAATTGAAGACAGCCTGATATTCTTAATTATCGTCTTCACGAATTCACATTATGTTTCACATTTTCGGGGATATCTCGGGATCTCGAAGATATACGGGAATTTTGTGTGGGATCTTTTTTGTGGAGAATAGTGAGGACTAAAAAAAGTTTCCGACAAAAATCTCGCTATCTCGCTTAGATTCGCAGGTAATGATGAAAACCTGATGGAAAAATACGGGAGGATGAATGGAATTAATTAATTGTCTTGAGTTTAATCATTCGCATGACTCTTGACCTTGTTGTTCTCGCTTTGATCATTGATAGGGCGATGTAAACAGTGCCTGGAAACACGATATGTTCGATGGTGTGAAGAAGGTTGGTCGTGGGGCCATTGGCGGCACAGGGACTACAAAACTACTCGTTTCGAATCTCGATTTTGGAGTCTCCGACTCTGATATTCAGGTAAATTCCCCCATCCTTTCACCAACGAATTCTACAGTTCATGCAGAAGAATTAAAACCTCAAGGACTGAATGGAGATTTTATTTTCTATTATTAGGAATTATTCAGTGAATTTGGTCCACTGAAGTCAGCAGCAGTCCACTACGACAGGTCGGGAAGATCTCTTGGATCAGCAGACGTTATTTTCGAACGTCGAGCTGACGCCATCAAGGCCATGAAACAGTACAATGGAGTACCTCTGGATGGTAATTGAATCAATTACTCCTCGCTAATCAATCTCATCACCTGAGAAATCATGTGACGAATTATTGCAGGTCGTGAGATGAACATTCAGGTGGCAACATCTGAGCTGCCAGTGACAACCTCTGTGAGGAATCCAGCACGACTCGCTGCTGGAAACTTCAATCAGAGATCTCCAACGAGATTCAGAGGAGCACGTGGAGCTGGAGCTGGAGCTGGAGCTAGAGGTTAATATTAATGAATCCATAAATTTATAAAAATTGATTGATTTCTGTTTTGTTTCTCCGAATTTTTTTTTTGCGAATGTTTACTCTATTATCAATCATCTCCGCTCGTCGGTGTCTATTGAAAAATTTGATTCGCCGGAAAATCGATTATAAAAAAAATCATGGATTATCATTCATTACAACAAAACCTAAAAAAAAACCAGGAAACACCCAAAAACCTAAACTTGGGGTTAAAGGTCGTGGAACAGGGCGACGAGGTGGTGGACGTGGAGGTGCCAGGCAGCCAACAAAGACTCCAACAGCTGAGGAACTCGATGCCGAGCTGGAGGCATACGTCAAGGAAGTAAAGTAACCAGGATCAACTCCCAGAAACGAACATAATAATAATAACTGACTTAATATCCACGAAAAAGCAATTCTTTGCCATGAATTTTCTAAACGAAATGTCAAACGATTCATTCATTTTTTTTTTATCGACTGTTTACTACGGTTTTATCACCTGAAGAAAAAGAGTTCAATTAATTTTCCCATTTTAAAAATAAGAATTGATAAGTAATAAATCATTCAGGGAGATGTTCGTAGAGAGATTGCTGTAGACTATACGAGATTTAATATTAATGATTAAAGTTATTGAAATCATCGAGATGAGCGTGTGGAAAAGGCAATTTTTTTTTTTCTTCATTAATTAGTTTTTATTTGTAAAATTGTGAAAAGAGAAAAAACTGTAGGAGTTACTCGACTGTATGGAAAAAATATGTGACAAAGTGCAGTTTTGATGAGGGAAACAAAAAAAAAATACAGAAAATAATATTTCATCTCCAACGGAATTTTATTCTTGAGTGAATTTAGAGTTATTTATTTTTTTTTAATCTTTGATCGGTTATCTAGAGATTATTCCCTGGTCCTCGTGTATGGAGATGTCTCTCTGTACTTTTTATTTTTTTTGTCGCAATTTATTATTTTTTTTTTTTCAATTTGTCGTTGAACTATTAACGCGAATTTTGTGGCGTTTGTAGTTTAACAATAACGGCTGTGAGTGCTGACTACTTTCATTATTAATGAACCTTCGAGACGAGTGGAATTTCAGATTGCCATTAATGGTTTTACATGGCTGAAGACTGAGATTATCTCCAAAGAAATTTCACCACTAATAAACGAATTTTCGTAATAACTTTAAAAGATTTATTTTGTCAGAGACATGTGCCCTTTCCTCGTGTCCTCCGCACATTCAATTAATTATTCATTACCAAATTAATCATTTTGTCATGCAATTAACCCGCAATGAAAATATTTTATTTTCGAAAAAAAAGGATCAGTATAAAAAATGTGAGTGAAAATCCTTGTGAAAGCTTTTTTATTTATTCATCTAGGCGATCATTTAATTTAACATTATTTTGTACATTATTATTGTAAAAATATTCATTAGGATGAGACAAAACAAGTGGGGAAGATAGTGATGATTACTCTCGATTTAATGGAGACTGAGTTGTGAATTCAGATTGAACTAAGGAACGGATTAATTACTTAACAATACGATCAGTCAACATCAGGCAATACCTCTTTGATTAATTTTTCTACATAAGGATCATGGGGTACTATCAAACGGATGACCAAAAATTATATTCACTTCAACTAAGGGATTGCGAGGGGAGGATTTTATCAATTTATAATCGTTTGAGAGTTCTTTTCTTGTCCTTGAGAAATTTTTTCTTCTCAGCTGTGAGTTTTTTGTCACCTGCATGCTTTTTTGATGGGGGACCACCCACTTCGGATGATGTGCATGTCTCGAGTCCTGCTTTGCTGCCTTTTCCTCCACCCTGATCATTTTTTTCGGTTAAATTGATATTTTATTGAGTTATTTTGAGTTTATTGCAGTAATAAATATAAGGGGCACTTTGAATTATTGATTTATATCGAAAACTATTGGTTTCTGGTAAAAATGTGAGAGGACTTTTTTCTAGCGGATTAAATGCCTCACAAAAAAGTTCTGCTGACGTTTTTTTCTAAAGTCAATAGCTTCCGGTATAAATCGATACTTCTGATGAAATCGCCGTGACATCCTCACCTGTGCATGAATTTCTGTCATCATCTTGGCCCTCTCAGAGTACTCCTCATACTTCTCCAGGAGCATCTTGCCAGCCTCTTCATTCAAGGCAGACTCGGCATTAGGTACAATAAGTAGGCACTTGACAGTGAGAAGGATGTGCTTAATCCCCAGATCAGACTTCCAGTCCTTCTTCAAGGTATTGACACAGATCTCCCCATTTTTGGCGACATTCGGATGGAATATCTTGGTGATGAAGAAAGCCTTCGGAGGTCCCTGAGGAAAATCCTTACCCAGTGCCAATTTCACCCTGAACCGTCCATTGGCATAAGGGGTCTCAGCTGTCAATTCCCAATAAATCATCGATTCATAAATCATTGGAATATTTCATAAAAGAATATTGAGTCAATTTGAGGGATTCTGGAATTTTTGTAAAGGAAAAAGAATTTTTGAGGGAAAAAGAATGCCGAAGGAAGAGAATTATAACAGAATTGTCAAAAATATCGAAAATTCTCCCCCCAGACTCACCAGGACCCTCGATGACCGCCTGAATATCCGTGACGTCGTCCTCATTAACAATAACCCTGATGCCCTCCGGAGGACTCTGGACGAGTTCTGACATCTCTTTGACAACCCTCCGGATTATTTGAGGTGACAAATTCTCAACGTTCGATATCTGCAACAAAAAATCACCGAATAAATCCAAAAAATCACCCACGAAAAAGTAAACAACACCACCAAAACCTCAAAATTCCGTGAAAAAACCTCCCACAAAGATAAACCACCCCAATACTCACCGAACTCATCTTCAACGATTCACCACCACCTCCAGTATAATTGTTATGTCCAGGTATTTGTTGTTGGTGTATTTATTGTTGCAATGGTTATGCGATTAGAATCTTTAACGTCACAACAGTGAAACGGCATCGCCCGCAATAACCAACATTTTGAACCGATGGCCAATCCAAGGATTCCGTTGGTTTCCGCCTACTGGAGGGGATAGACATCTGGTTCGAGACTTTTCCCCCACTTCCACTCATTTTCCTCTCTCTTTTCCCCACTTTTCCGCTCATCACCGCCCCCTTTCCGCTCTTTACGCGCTTTTCCCCCCTTGACTACCCATTGAGTCGCTGTTTCCCCTATTTTACTCCCACTTCCCTTTACCCCTCGCAATCCCACGTTAAAGAAAATGGAGAAACTTGAAGTTATCGACGTGCGTTTCGTTGTGATGTGAAATGAACTACGCATGTGTTTTTTTGTTATTTGGAGTTGATTGGGATTTTTGAGGGGTCTGAGAGCTTTTGGTAATGGTTATAAAGGTTCAGGGGGATTTATAGGGGTTTTCTAGGGGTTCTGAGGCAGGGTGAGAATTCTGAGGGTCAAGGGAGGATCTCGAGGGTAGAATGCCGGACTCTGAAAAGGTGAGATCTTCAGGGTTTTTCGTCGTTGCTGCCGGTTTAATTTATTCTGAGGGATTCATTGGCATTTTGATTAGCCTGATAATAATAATGAAATGATAATTAACTGATAATCAACGGTAATTACTCCAGGAAAAATGCATGAAGCAGTTGAAGAGGCGTATGGAGGCGTGGAGGGAAGTTGTCCTCCCAATAAATTCAGTGATGCTCTGGGAGAAGACGTGGTACCCTGGATTAATCCTCGGAGTCACCACCACATTATTCCTGTAGGTATCTGATAATTAATTCGATTAATTATCATTAATAGATCGATGGAATAATTATCTTCAGGTTCATCTGGATGCTGGAGCCAGCTTTTGTGACGATAATCTCGATTTCTCTGCTGCTGGCAGCACTCATTGATTATTTAGTTCCTGTTCTGTCGTCGACTTTCATCTCGTCGAGTGCCTGGACAGGTCAGAAGGAGAAGAAACTCGAGGAGATCTGCCAGAACCTGAGTGAGATCATCATCCAGGGGCAGAATGCCAGGAAATATCTCCTGAATGCACGCAGCAGTCGACCCATGATTGTAATTGATAAATTAATTACAGAAATTATAATAATTATATATTATATAATTATTTCATAATTCGATATTCAACGAAAATTGAATTTATTTCATTCCATTTCATTATTGAAATTGATTTAATTAATTAATTTGATTTGATTAGTACTACGGGTCCATCACACTGGGGCTGAGTCTTCTCGCTTGGCTGGGAAATATTGTAAACAATCTTTTATTGATGTATTTGATTGGTGAGTTGAATTAAAATTTATCCAATTGACTAATCATTCAGAAAATGTCACACGTTTAACATCGATTGATCTCACGTCATGTCTGTTAATGATGAATTAATTAATGATTAATCATCGATAATATTTCGTAGTGAACACTATACTGCTGCTTCCGGGGTTGAAACACAAGGGTCGAGTGCAATCTGGTCTGAAACACGCCTACAAGTACTTACTGCAGCAGAAGAAGGCGTAATAATTAAAAGAACAATCTTCCATCGGCATTTCATCCACAATTGCTGCACGAGCTTCTCACGTATCTATTAATCATTGCATCAGCGTATATATAATCAAAATCTAACGATCTAGTGACAAAAACGAGTTGTTGATATTATCAACAAACAGACTGACCACGAATCTCTATTTAGACATCATAATCCAAAGTCAAAATGTTTTAATCACCTAGCTTTATTTATTTATAATAAGGTAGAGGATAGAAATGATCATTTGTATTTTCTGTACTCACTCGAATCGTACTGAAAAATTTTGTCAACGTCATTGCGACAGATATTTTTATTTTTTTGTTGAAAATACAGAATTCATTCTCAACTCTATCTCCAGTTTTTTTTATTAAAATTATTAGAATAAATTAACAGAAAAGGAGAAATATAAAGTCGATTCTTGGGGATCGATAAAGAGCAACTTCTCGAGGTCTTCCTAACCTCGAAGGAATCAGGTGCTCCGTAATAATCTGATGTAACCAAGAAATAGAAACGTTCCATGAGCGGAGCAATCAACCGGTGACAGTAATTGTTCTGAACCTAGTTATTAATTAAAATTAAAATGACGAGTTCGAATGAAAAAGCCAGTGATGAGAATGTTGAATACACGCCACCCCCGAAGAAGACGTATCCTGACGAAAAGGGTGAACTCTGGGGTCACGATTTATATCCAGAACGCAGGGGTTCCAAGAAATCCTCGGTAATGAAAACTCTGTTAATGAAAGAGGGGGATGAAAATATCGGTAAGTACCACTGTGAGAAAAAAGTCTACACATGCCTGAAGAAACATCCAGTCGTGAAGCTGATGATGGGAGCGCTCAGGGCCTCGGGATGTCCAATAGATATCAGGAGACACATCACCTGCGAGGTGTGCGACAAATCAGTGACAGGTGGTTATGATCCTGAGCTTAATCAGATAGTCGTCTGCCAGAATACTGCGAAAATCGAGGGAATAATCGGCAGCGTTTTGTCTCACGAGATGATACACATGTTCGACTACTGCAGGAACAACCTCGACTTCAAGAATCTCGACCACCTGGCCTGCACGGAGGTCCGAGCCGCCAATCTCACGTACTGCAGCTTCATGAGTGCCTTCATCGACGGGGACGCCTCTTGGTTCAACCTGAGAAAAAGGCACCAGGTAATACCCCATTTTCCCCCGATTTCCCTCCACTGGAAAAATTTCAAAAATTTCGTTGTGAAATTCCTGGGAATCCACCAGGAACACAAAATTCTCCAGAGAACCTTCCACCTGGAGAAAATCCAGGGCTGCAAAAAATGTCAGATGACAAATTTCGGTATCTCCTGGGGATTCGCAGATATTTGGAATAAACTGATTGCACCGGGTGATTTGAGTAGAAATCATTTGGATATAAATTTTTTTTTCAGGAATGCGTCAAGAGGCGAGCATTGCTGTCGGTCCTGGCAGCCAGAGGAGTCACTCCAGATGAAGCCAAAGCGGCTGTTGACAGAGTATTCGAGAGATGCTACAACGATATGGAGCCCGTAGGCAGGAGAATACGAAGTTCCACTGACGACATGCAAAAAGCTCTGTTCGAGGGCTCCCTTTTCGGCTACGATCTCTAACTCTTCGGCAATTAGTCATTCAATTTTTTTAATGTATGTATTTCAATCTAATGTACATACTCTGTACGATTATTGAAATGATAAAAATAAAGAGCCAAACTGGAATTATTATAAATGAAAAAATGGACTCGTCGACCGAACATACCATTTCAAGGAATTAATTTTCCTTTTAATTATAATTGTAATTACATAATTATTACACTCAATTTACGCAATAATTGTAAGCAGCTCAGACTGGAGATCAAACGAATCACATAGCCATAATGGTATTAATAATACGTCAGATACAAAAATAAGTAAAAACTTTTTTTTTCCTTTTTTCAATAGTTTCTAATCCATTACCTTAGAAATTTACTTTAATCGAGTCATATCTTTTGTGCAGTGAATGCGGTTTTTTCATCGAACAATGGTTCCAGCAATTGCAGAATATTTTTCATTCTGAAATTTTTTTCTATTGCGGGGAAAAATCGTTGAGAGAATTATTCTCATGGAAAATTCCACCTGGGGATATTTCCCCTGAAGACAGAATCTCGCAGAAATATTCTCAATAAAAACCGAATAAAATCTGATGAACAAATTCCTACTACGATATTACAATAATTATTATTTGTAATACTCAAAGATTGCCCAACAGTGAAAAAGCAAATGAAATAATTAACGTTAGATGATGTCGCCCTCATTGTCAACGACTTCCTGCTTGATATCAGATGAATCCATGGGGCTCTCCTCCTTGACCTTGATCATTTCCTCTTTCTTAATGGGGAGTGATTTTTTTCTCGCTTTCGCTGGTTTTTCGCACTCCCTCTCCCTCTCGTACATGAAAGTCTTCCTGTTGCGTTTCGTCGGCTTGCATACCTTCTTGTAGAGGACCTTCATCTCCTTAATTCGACTGGAGGGAATCGTCCAGTCGAGATCCGCCGACGAGAGATCAGAGTTCCTCGTTGGATCAAAATCTGTCGAGTACTCTGGAATTTCCAGTCCCAATTTTTTCATTACATTCGTAATAATCTCCTCGACATTTCCATTGATCACCAGGTCGGCCTTTTTGTCGTGCTTCGTCGGCTGGAGATTGCATATCACCAGCCGTCCACCGTATTTTTTAGTGTACAGGGGGAGATTTCCACTGGGAATTATCTGGAGGGTTGTACCCAGGCAGATACTCAGGTCTGCGACGCTCGAGTGCAGGTCTGATAGCGCCAGGTCGTTGTCCGGGAGATTGTGCTCCCAGTCCAGGATTGTATCGTGCATACGACCGCGACAGGGACGACCACCGATTTGCTCAGATCTGCACACTGTGTCCAGACATTTTTTTCCAACACTCGTCGTTGCGAAGTGACGGATGAATTGTCTAATAAATTAAAAATTTATTTATTATTTTTAACAACGAATGAAGAAAAAAAAAAACTCTGGAAAGACAACCCTCTGGAAATTGTTTAAAAAACGGAGGAGAGTGGGAAAATTGTGGAAAAACTTTCTGTTCTCCTCAAATTTTAAATCCTCACCTTCCGCACTTGTCGCACTGCTCAACGAACATGTTGCCATGCAGCTCAGCGAGATACTGTCTAGAAACACCAGAGCGAAGATGAAGACCGTCGATATTTTGACTGACAATGAATTTTATTTTCTCTGGAAATAAAATTCCAGTCAACTCCGAGACCAATAAAAAATTGAGATATCAATTGACGATTAAAAATTAACTTACGACACTCGATCAATCGCTTCAGAGACATGTGAGTCTTCGTGGGGATGGCATCATCGAAGGATACCCCTTTCTCGGGCTTCAGCCCCTTCTGCTCGAGGGTCCAGACCCCATTGGGTCCCCTGGGGGCCACAGAGTCCCATTAAAAAAAATTCTCTGACTAGAAAATATGCGAAAATCGAGATAAACACCTGAAATCAGGAATTCCAGCTGCAGTACTGATTCCTGCACCTGTGTGCACCACGACATGACGTGCCCCTTGGATCCAGTCCGCCAGGAGTCCGCATTTAAGCCTCAGGGTCTCCGAACTCTCATATTTCTGATAAAAGAATCCAAATTTTTACAAGCGAAAGGATAAAATTCGTTCAACCAATTTTTACAGATCAGTCCATCTCAAATATCTCACAATCCACCGCATTGACGTAAAAAACTCCGATGATCTTTTCGATAGATCTCGATTTTCCCCACAAAAAAGCCCGTCACCAAAACAACGCTATCTCCTAGGGATTCCGAGATATCCGGGAAAAACCTACCAAATCTTTAAATGACCTAGAACCCTCCACCAGAAACCCCCCACGAAACTCGAGCCCCCCAGGAAATGCCTCAAAACCCCTTCAACAACATCATCACCCGCTTATAAATCCCTGGACTCACCTCCTCGAGCCCCAGGACACCCTTATTATCATAAGGTGACAGGCCATCGGCATAACTACAAGACATTATTCAATAACTCGTATATTTTTTCTCACCACTGAAAAATTTTAATGATAAAAAATTAAAAAAACGCTCCAAAACGTTCAAATAACAACAACAACCGCCCGATAAGCGATATATCGAGTTTCTCCACGAGTTATGAGAAATCGTTGAGTCGAAGTTGATGAGTTAAACTGGCACTGGCATTTCAATTCTGTGATAAAACGTTAAATATTATCGTGGGAGTAACAAACACTTTAGTTGCTTGATATTGTTCATCTGGGGGAGCTTTTTCGAGTGCTTTTCCTTGTGGATTACCCCAAAAGCACCACTGACCGTTTGGTTGGCAGCATTTGACAGCTGGGCGCATTCTCAAGGCCATTTTGACATATTTCAAGGTCTCTCATTGGTCCAGGAGTACTCACAAGTCCAAATTACGGTCACTGGGTTGTTATTGCTCCGGGGATAGTCCGCTCGGTGTTGGGTTATCTTCTCGTATTTTTCTCGGGGTATTATGAATATTCATTTTTTTTCTTTACCTCATTGCCGTTTGTTTATCAATTTATGAAGGTTATTGGAACGTTCGGGGGATCCTGGGGCACATAACCTGTTGGGGAGATTTTTTTTAGCTATTTGTTGGAGGTATGGAAATCGGGGAGTAGCTCGTTCTGGTGGTGAGAAGGATTTTTCCAAATTTTTTCGGATATTTTGGGGGTTTTGGTGGAGATTATCGGGTCAGGATGGCGAATACTGGGGTATTACCTTTTGTCAGGGGTGTTGACTTCAGCTGCAATGATTTTGGGGTGAGTATTGAGGTTTTTTAGGTTTCTTTATTAACTCGGGGATTTTTTTGGAGGGGAATGGAGTTATTGGGGATTTTTTCGGGTTTTAGGAGAATAAATTTCCGCCGTCTGTTCGGCTGATGACGGGGATACAGTGGCTGAGGCTCAACAGGACCAATCTGTCTGAGATTCCTGAGGAGATGGGCAAACTCCTGAAGCTCGTGAGTATTTTCGGGATATATGGGATGCTGGGGAGTTACTGGATTTTTTTTCGAGTGATTAAAGGATGGATATTCGAGGGAGAAGAATCCCAATAAACTCACCGATATTTTTCTATCAAACTCATCTGCAGGAGCACTTGTCTCTGGTGAAGAATAACCTGGAGCGTCTGTACGGAGAGCTAACAGAGCTGAACTGCCTGCGCACCTTGAACATCCGTCACAACAACGTGAAGACCTCGGGGATTCCCGCGGAATTATTTCACCTGGAGGAGTTGACGACTCTAGACCTGTCTCACAACAACTTGAAGGAAATTCCAGAGGGTCTAGAACGCGCCCGTTCCCTCCTCAACCTGAACCTCAGCCACAATCACATCGAAACGATTCCCAACACCCTCTTCATCCACCTGACAGACCTCCTCTTCCTCGACCTGAGTAACAACCAGCTGGAGACCCTTCCACCCCAGACAAGACGTCTAGCAAATCTCCAGACCCTGAACCTCAATCACAATCCCCTGGGTCACTTCCAGCTGCGACAGCTTCCCTCCCTGATGAACCTGACGACCCTCTCGATGAGGAACACTCAGCGTACCCTCAACAATATCCCCAGCTCCCTAGAGAGCCTGACAAATCTCCAGGAGCTCGATCTATCCGAGAATGCCCTTCCCCGTGTTCCAGACGCCCTCTACTCCCTCTCGAATTTAAAACGCCTCAACCTCTCTGACAACGACATCACCGAGATATCGACAGCCCTCGAGCTGTGGCAGAAGCTGGAGACCCTGAATCTTTGCAGAAATCGTTTGACGTCTCTTCCCCCTTCCATCTGCAAAATTCAGACCCTCAGACGACTGTACGTCAACGACAATCACCTAGACTTCGAGGGAATTCCCTCAGGAATTGGAAAACTCTCGTCCCTGGAGATATTCTCAGCTGCCAAAAATCACCTGGAGATGATACCCGAGGGTCTCTGCAGGTGTGGCTCCCTGAAGAAGCTGATTCTCTCCTCAAATCGTTTGATAACTGTTCCAGACGCCATTCACCTGTTGACCGACCTGGAGCAGCTTGACCTCAGGGACAACCCGAATTTGGTGATGCCACCGAAGCCGACGGAGGTGCAGAGAGGATCGGGAATTGAATTTTACAACATCGATTTCTCCCTGCAGCACCAGCTAAGACTCGCAGGTGCAAATGTTCCAGCACCAGCGCAAACTGTCAACAGCTCCAAGGACCCCATCGCCAGGAAAATGAGATTGAGACGACGGAGGGACCAGGAGGAGGCCGATCAGGACCAGGCTAAGATCCTCAGGGGAATGAAGGACATAGCTGGTGATAAAAATAAGGACAAGGATGACAACGACGTGAAGACAGAATCACTCAAGCCAAAACGCTGGGACGAGAGCCTGGAGAAGCCACCACTGGACTATTCAGAGATCTTTGACGATGATGCCGGTCAGGTACCTGGTATATCCGTCTGGGAGATTGAGAATTTTCTTCCCAATCAAATCGAGGAGGTGGCGCATGGAAAATTCTACGAGGGTGACTGCTACATAATCTTGAAGACGAGTCTTGATGAGGCTGGGGCACTCCTCTGGGCGATTTATTTCTGGATTGGTGAGAAAGCAACACTCGATAAGAGAGCTTGTGCTGCCATTCATGCCGTCAATCTCAGAAATTTTCTGGGGGCGCAGTGCAGGACGATCAGGGAGGAGCAGGGAGACGAGAGTGACGAGTTCCTCTTGTTATTCGACTCTGATATCACGTACATCGAGGGTGGAAGGACTTCCTCAGGGTTCTACACTGTCGAGGACACACCAGCTATTGCCAGATTGTACAGAGTCCATGCAGCTGGTGCCTCCATTCATCTCGAGCCAGTAGTATTCTCACCAGGTAGTCTAGACCCTGGGTATGTGTTTGTCCTGGATGTGGGCACGAGGATTTTCATGTGGTACGGTAAAAACGCAAAGAACACCCTCAAATCCAAGTCCAGGCTGTTGGCGGAGAAGATGAATAAGAACGAGAGGAAGAACAAGGCTGAGATCATCATGGAGATGATGGGAATGGAGTCTGAAGAGTTTTGGGAGGCACTGGGTGGTGAACCTCCTGAGGAATTCATCGAGCACGTCGACAGAAATTTTTTACCTGTTACTCCTCGACTTTATCAGGTCAGGCTGGGGATGGGGTACCTGGAGCTGCCCCAGGTGGAGGTACCACATGGAAAATTATCGAATAATCTATTGAATAACAGAAATGTTTACATCCTCGACTGCTACCTCGACGTCTTCGTCTGGTTTGGGAAGAAATCCACTAGATTGGTGAGAGCTGCTGCTGTCAAACTCTCCCAGGAGCTCTTCAATATGATTGACAGGCCTGATTTTGCAATGGTAACGCGTCTCCAGGAGGGCACGGAGTCTCAGATATTCAAGTCCAAGTTCACTGGGTGGGACGAGGTGATTGCTGTTGATTTCACCAGGACAGCTGAGTCTGTTGCCAAGACTGGAGCTGATCTGACCAAATGGGCGAAGCAGCAGGACACTAAAGCGGATTTAGCTGCACTCTTCATGCCACGACAGCCACAGATGTCCAACACTGAGGCACAACAGCTGATGAACGAGTGGAGTGATGATCTGGAGGTGATGGAGGCATTCGTCCTGGAGAAGAGGAAATTCGTGAGACTCCCTGAGGAGGAGCTTGGTCACTTCTACAGCGAGGACTGTTACGTATTTTTGTGCAGGTACTGGATACCTCTGGATCTTGAGAATGACGAGGGTGATGAGCAGCAGTACGAGGATGACTTCCAGTGCATCGTGTATTTCTGGCAGGGTAGGGACGCCGGTAATATGGGATGGCTGACGTTCACCTTCTCCATGCAGAAAAAATTCAAGACACTTTTTGGGGAGAAGCTCGAGGTGGTGAGGACACACCAGCAGCAGGAGAATTTAAAATTCATGGCGCATTTCAAAAGGAAATTTATTATTCATCATGGGAAGAGGAAGGGCAAGGCACCGGGATCTACTCCTGTCGAGTTCTTCCATCTCAGGAGCAATGGCAGTGCTCTGTGCACCAGGTTGATACAAATTCAACCTGACGCCAGTCTTCTTAACTCGGCATTTTGTTATATCCTTAATGTTCCTTTTAATAATGACGAGGAGACGGGAATTGTTTATGTTTGGCTCGGGGCAAAGTCTGATCCTGAGGAGCAGAGGCTTGTCCAGGACATCGCCGAGGAGATGTTTAATACGCCCTGGATCAGTCTACAGGTGCTCAATGAGGGAGAGGAACCTGACAATTTCTTCTGGGTGGGACTTGGGGGGAAGAAGAATTACGAGACTGATGCTGACTTCATGAAGTACACTAGGTTATTCAGGTGTTCCAATGAGAAGGGGTACTTTGTTATCAGTGAGAAATGCACGGATTTCTGTCAGGATGATCTCGCTGACGACGATATTATGATTCTTGATAATGGGGAGCAGGTGTTCCTCTGGCTGGGCACCAGGTGCTCTGAAGTTGAGATCAAACTCGCGTATAAATCCGCTCAGGTGTACATTCAGCATCTCAGGGTTAAGCAGCCCGACAATCCCAGGAAGCTCTTCCTCACGGCCAAGGGAAAGGAGAGCCGAAGATTCACCAAGTGTTTTCATGGCTGGGGAATGCATAAAAAATCACCCGAGTGAGGGATTTGCGGCGGTGGATATGTCTTCCAGGGGATGATTTAAGGGGAGATCAATGGATTTATTAATTGATAACAATTATTGAAGTAACGAACAAATGACGAATGCACACTGTCGAGAGCATAATGTCAAAATTAACGAGCTATAATTATTTATTTACATATCTCTGATGATTATTTATTTAGCATTTTTTCAATGAATCGTAAATATGTAAAATAATGATTGTTTCATTAATAAATGGGAATTTTACGAGTTTTGGTTGAACAATTTCATTTATTTAGGCGTCAATCTCTTGTACTTTTACACTCCGATGCATTGGCAAATTATCACACGAGTATCAACAATTGTAAAATTATTTTTATCATTATTAATACAAAATAGAATATTTATAGACAAAAATAATAATAATAAACAAACAGGGAAAGAGTTGGAATAAATAGGGAGTGGGGGGGCTGTCTTCAATCGTCGATATCTCGAGAATTAATCATACGATTTTGACGAGTTCAATCTCATTTTGAAAATCGAAAAAATATCTTCAAAATGAGTCGCCATTTATCACTCGGACATTTCCCTCAGCCGTTGTCGAGTTATCGCCGATCGAAGATTGTATTTTCCCTCGATTATTCTGTAATTGTGCAAGATGCAATTTAATGACAATAATTATCTTTCAATAAATAATTGCGTTGTCAGGTAAAGCGGTCTGTCGCTGAAGAGGATGTCCAGGTCCTTCGCAACACTCAAAAATCGTTAAAAATATATCAATTCACTGACTGAATCAATTGATAATTCACGAATTATCTCATCAATTGATTCGGAAATTAATCAATGAGGCAATTGATGAATATTCTGATTAATTATGAAATAAAATTGCATTATCAATAATTTGCTATTGTTTAAAATAATTTTTATGGATTAGTCGTCGTCGTCTTCGTCACTGGGGACGAATAAATCGTTCTCCTCGAGGAAGTTGGCGATGTTCTTGCTCAGGGTCGCGCCAATCATCACTCCGATGGCAACTCCGAAGAATACCCTGAGGAAACCGAAGGGCTCGCGTTTTGGCCTGGGCAGGACAGCTCCTGATCGAGTTGTAATGGCTGTTCTCCTCACCACAGTATTCAACTCGTTGAAAGTCGTCTTCGAGCGCAGGAGAGAAATTACTCGACTCGTGAGAGCCATCTCCCAGGTATCTGAGAATAAATTTCCCACAAATTCCCAAATTCCTGTCTCAATCCTAAAAATATCCTCCCACTACGTCATCCCAAAAAAATTCCCAGAAAATGGGAAAATCTTTAAAAATCCCTCAAAACGTCAAATCTTCAGATTAAAAAAAACTCACCCTTCACCCCCAAAATTCAGTAATGACTCCCGAATATTCCTCCAAACGTCAGGCCCTCAGATTTCCTCCCCAGGTTATGTTTACACCTCAAAATACAATCGCGATCTGCCGAAAAAATTGCAATAATCGTAACGCGCCTCCACAATCGACGAATGACAGATCGACTCGACTCTCTAGAGTCGCCGATGTCAGCCGAGAGCTCCCGATGGCAACTTCAGGGTGCACCGATACGATAAGAAAACAATATGCAGAAAAATACCATCAATAATCAAAGAGTGTCTGAATTACCCCTGATTAATTAACCGGTGGGGCCCCAAAAATTCCATTGAAAAAAGTGATTTTATCGATCTTGACAGTTAATCGAAGAGAACCCCACGCGATTATGACCTTCGCCGGAGTCCAGAGGATCCCCTGAACTCCTGGAGATGATTTCCACGCCGAGCTGTCACCTGACACCCTGAGGAAATTCCTGAATACCTGAGGTGTCAGTTTCAATAAATCAATTTATTCAAAAAACTCATAATTTCTATTTGTTCATTTAAATACGATTTTCATTTATATTAATGACATATTTATTTGTTAATTCAATTTTATTTGGAATTATATTATATTTAAATAAAGGGAATGAAATATTTGAATGTACAGATGGACGTGGTGACGACGAGTCTGGAGGCTCTCCTCCAGAGAGTGATAAATCCTCAGAACGAGAAGCCGGATATAGCTGCAATCGACGCCTTCTGCGTGATGGTGATGAAGGAACCAGGTGGAATGCAAATTGGTAGTAAATTACTAGCAACCAAGATTCAATCATCCAACGAGAACGAGTCCCTCCAGGCCCTCGGCCTCCTGGACACCTGCATGAAACGTTGTGGTCGTGGATTTCACTCGGAAGTCGGTAAATTTAGATTTCTCAACGAGATGATAAAGCTGGTGTCGCCGAAGTACCTGGGGACAAAAACACCTCCAGCAGTTCGTGAGAGGGTACTCTCCCTGTTGCAGTCCTGGACGCAGGATCACCCCAGGGAGACGAAGATCAAAGAGGCATTCGAGATGCTGAAGAGTCAGGGTGTCGTCAAGGGAATAAAAACGCCCCAAAATAATCAGAGACAGCCAAAAGTTGGAAATACACTCTTCGAGGACGAGGAGACGGCTAAACTCCTGCAGGAGCTACTCCAGAGTAAAGATCCCTTTGAGCTCCAGCTCGCTAATAAACTCATCAAGAGCATGGTGAAGGACGACGAGAGGAGGATCCAGCAGAAGTCCCAGAGAAATCTCGAGCTGGAGTCTGTTCATAATAATGTTAAACTCCTGGAGGAGATGCTGGACTCGTACAATCCTGTTGATAATAATCAGGATGACGTCGATCTCATGAAGGAACTCCACCAGACATGCCAGAGGCTCAAGCCATCTCTTCTCCGACTGGCTGAGGAAACTCAGGATCATGATGATGTTCTCAGTGATGTACTCGTGGCTAATGACGAATTGTCTCGTGTCTTTGATAAATTTAATTGCACCTTCGCCGAGGCTAATGCCAATGGAACGTCTTTACTCGATTTGGATACCCCAGATACACCTGGCTCCAGCTGTGGAGGAGGTGTTGACAATCAGAGAAACTCTGGACCCAGTGATATCGAGATGCTGGGGGATATTTTCAGCTCGATTTCGGTTGGAGACAAGACTGATGGGGACTGCTTCGATGGGTTCATGGACAATGTCAATGTTCTGCAGCCAGTGAGTGTGCAGAAGGTGAATGTGAATCCCGAAGAAAAAATTCCAGGGGTGAAGGACGGTAAGGCTAAGGCAATGGAGGAGTTGAATGAGATGGGTAAGATTATGCTGCAGGAGTCACTCCTGGGTAGCAACAGAACGATGAAGAGTTTAGTGGAGGAATTTGGTGTGTCCTTGGTACGAGAGAGTTGTCCTGATCCTGGCGACAAGGACAGCAACAAAAATAAAACGATTTTGATTGATCAAGTGCTGGAAATCGGGGGTGAGGAGAGGAAAAATGGATCTGGAGGTGAAAACGTCAATTGGAGGGACGACGAGGACGACAAGATGGTTCTCAGCGATCATGGAAAGACCCAGGGGCTCGAAATAAAACCCCTGGGGGAGTTGCATGTTACCCTCGGTGATATTAAACCCTCGAAAGTTCCTCCTGTCACTGTTATTGATAATAAAAACGAAATATCTGTGATTCTGCATTTTGCTGAGGGTGGACCCCGAGAGGATGTTACTGTTGTTGTTGTCACTACTGTCAGCAAAAATTCTAAAGGACTGAGGGATTATTTGTTTCAAGCTGTTGTACCCAAAACCTGCAAGTGCAGGCTACAGCCACCCTCTGGCGTACAGCTACCCGGGTTCAACGTATTTTTACCACCTGCTGCTATCACCCAGATCTTGATGATTGCCAATCCGCTGAAGGTCAGGCTTTTTTTAATTCATCATTATTAAGACTCCAGCAATTAATTTAATAATTATATTATTGGGTATGGAATTTAAATGCCTGGAGAATAATTTCAATGGATTTTTTATCAGGTTCCCCTGTCCTTGAAATTCATGCTGAGCTATACGATGGAGGACGAGACCTTCACGGAGATGGGGGAAGTGGACGACATCCTGACGTCTTAATTAAACATTATTTTGTCGATTAGCAACTAGAGGTGAATAATCTCTGGGGAGTTATTTAACAATGAAGATTAAACAATCAAAGAGACTTTTCGATTAAGTATTCTAAAGGGAAAAAAATAGATAATTCCGTTGATGTTTCTCTAGTCGAAAACCATCATGAGTACTTTATCATTTTATTTTTTAATTTTTCCGTACTTAAGGAGTAATCACTCAGAATAATCGCAATGATTATATATTTAATTTTAGGGTTTGTCTGTGGGCATGTGTTTGTACACGAGCTTCATTGTCTTCGTATAATTGTGATGTACTGGAATAGCTGGAGAAATGGATTAACTGGATAGAATTATTATATTTGAATAAAAGTATATGAAATTGTGGTTGAAATATTTGAATTGTTTATGATTTTTTTACGGGAGAGGTACAATTTGGTCTCTGAAGGCTAGGGCTGTCAGGGCTTTCTGGTGTCCCTGATACTCCCTCTCGATTTTTCCTGTGGAGACGTTCCAGAGGCGAGCCACGCCGTCAGAAGATGCTACCAGGAAAATCAATGATTAATTATTTTATTTATGAATGAAACAGAAAAGTGAATATAAATTAATTCACCAGTGAAAATGTACTGAGAGTCGGCAGAAAAAGCTGCATCCCACACCCATCTCTTGGATTCATGCTGGAACACCTGGGTCTCCGAAAAATCTGATGTTTTCCACACCCTAGCTGTCTGATCAGCTGACGTCGTCACCAGGAGTCTAAAATAAAAAAAAAATCAAGAATTTATACTCGAATGAAATTATTCTCGGGTTTAATGGGATTTAATTACGTCGAGTCAGGACTGAATTTGCAGCGCAATGCATAACGTTTGTGCGCCAATATTTTGTGCCTGGGGTTGAGTTTCGTTGGTTCTTCACCAACTCCACCACTGAGGGACCACACGTAACAATTTCCTTTATTATTCACTGCTGCCATGTACGTTCCATCTGGATCTGTCGATATATCTTGGATAGATGCCTCGGCCTCTGGAATCTACAGATTAAAACTCAAAATGTTTTAATTAATTCAATTCGTCTCATTGTCCATTAATTATTCTCACCAATTGTTCGTTGTGATCAGAACGTAAATCCCATAGATGAACAATTCCACTCTGATCTCCAACAATTAATTCAGACTGATTCGGATGTAAAGATACACAATTGACAGGAGCTGACACCTGAAATATTCTCTGGCACTGGAAATTGCTGGCTCTTTGGAGAAAAATAAATCAATTGAACCGAGTGATGCATTAGAATTTGATGAAATTATTTACCGGAGGTCCCAGATTCTTGCTGACAAGTCCTCACTTCCAGTGTACATCCACTTTCCATCTTCCTACATAAAAATATCCAAATATCATTCAATCCCTCGATCTTTCACCTTTTTCATTTTGATTTTCACCTGAAATCCGAGGCTCGTGACATTTTTGGATGCTCCCTCGTAATTCAGAACTGAATTTGGATTACTCGAGGCCAAATCATGCATAAAAATATTCTGATACCCAGCAGCCGCTATCACATGTTTATCTGGAGTTATATCCAAGGCATTTACTTGCTGCAACAATTAAAAAGTTAATAATTATTCATTCGCAAAAAGAAAAATCATAACCAGTCATCAATTTAATCAGTGAATCATGACTAATTAATGAATCAATTGATTCATCGACCATTGACCCCTGGACTATTTACCAATAATCAATTCCCATTCAAATTCATTTGTTTATTTATATTCTATTATATAATTTGAATAAATACCGAAACTGTATGCTGAACTGTTCGTTGACAGACACCAGTGTGTGCCTGCCATATTTTAATCGTGTGATCATACCCTCCAGTTGCAAAAATCACCTGATCATTACTACTTATTCCCTCAACTGTCATAATTAATTAATTATTCGTCTCCCAATTGTTGGGTGAAAATGTTTTTCGGTTAGGAATCATTTGTTTTTTGTTTACAAGCATTTACAAGCTTGACAGGTGCTGCCCATGAAAATGCACCATAACCTGAATAATCCTAATTCCTAATGGATAATTAATAACAATAAATAACACATATTGGGGTAAACAATTTTATTAAATGGATTAAGTTTCATAGCATATTCAATTAATATCAGTACGTTGAATGGTTTTTAATGGTTGCAGAGATAGAAAATGACCTTGGAGCTACGAAGTAATGCGTTGGTACATGTAGATGTATCCAAGTTCCTTCGGGGGGTTCTCGGAAAGGGCGACCTGGAATTATTAACAAGCTTTAAAATAATTGTTGAAAAAAATAATGCTGCCAATGAAAAATTACCAGTAGAATCATCACCTTTTCATCGTTAAAAATCACCCATCGTCCGTCCTTGAGTAGATGACAGACGTAGTGACCGACCATCGTGGACGTGCCCATGTGAGAGATGAACCCCACGAGTTTGTACCTATCCCCGCCATCCCTGAAGCCCTCACTCTTGTCCTCGTCCATTTCCACAGGTTCCACATCTCCCTGCCGACTAAAAATCCAATCCACAGCCCTCTCCACATTATTATCAGTGGCCTTGAGTGCCCTGACAGCCTGTTCCTGAGTGAACCCCAGGTTGAGAAGATAATCGAGCCCAGGGCCAGGTACAAAATTCCTGGAGGGGGTGGGATCGACCCCTGGAGGCACGAAATCATCAGTGAAATCAGAGTCCGCGATGTGCTCCATTATCCAATTGGTGGCTGCCTCCAGGCCCTTATTCTCCGTGAAATAGAGTGCCCGTTTACATGCCTCAGGGTGAAAACCCATTTCTAACAGCTGCCCCATGATTTCCTCGTTGTAAACTGGCGCTGGCACTGAGTCCGCAGACTCTGGCAGCAGCTCCTCGTCCACCTGTTTACCTGCACCCCGGAGAAGACTTATGTCGAGGATATCAGGCATCTCCACAGCGACATCTAATTTTATTGGTGTCCAGTCCTCGCTGACATTGAATTTTTTCAGGTGAAGGAGGAGATAATCTGGCGTCGTTGACAGTCTCGTCTTCTTCGTGGCCGTTGTCTTCTCGTTCAGTGCTGTACTGTAAAATTGTTCCACTAGTTCTGTTCGTGCAAATGACTCGAGGCAGGACGACAGCTTTATGTGAGGACGAACTGGGGGGGTTGATGTGTCCAGACGACGACCACTCGATTCTGCATCCTTTTTCTCAGCCTCGTATGCAGCCACTTCCTCCAAATTTGTTGCAGCATCCAGTGGAATTGGCAAGGGTAAAAGGTATTCAGGTCGATACGAGTACTTGACTTTATTCGAGCTGCTGCACTGATATCTCTCCTCGACCTTGAACTTGAAGGCATCAGCTGGATTTGCCTTGTGCACACTGTGACGATCTAGGATGTTGATGAAGTGCAGGAAAAACTCCTGGGCATCCTGTTGCCTGGTGGATGAGAATCCTGGATGCCCCTTGCCAATAAGACTCTTGAACATCCTCGGAGGTACCCCCTGTCGACCACCGTCCTCTTTCTCAGCCTCTGGTGCCACCGAGTACTTCCCAGACAGCAAACCAACCCCCAGTTTAGCCATTTGAACGTTAAAATCGTTGGCTGGATCCACTGTGTTGCCATCAAAAATATCCAGTGCTGGATCTACAAATCTCTGAATGAAATCTGGAATTACAAAAATCGTCTGCATGACGGAATTCAAATAGCAAGAATTCCCCAGGTTGTTTAGTCCAGTGTATCCAGAACCATAAACAGGTGTCAACTTGCTGGCAGCTTCCTGGAGTGCCACCCACTCCCCAAACTTCTGATTGAGATCCAGCTCCAACTCCACCATGGACTTCTCAGTTTTCTCCAGGTGTGCTATATTAATTCCCCAGTGCGCCAGGTGAACAATAAGATTCGGATCGTCCACCATGTCGTCCTCGTCATACGAGTAGACATCACCAGTTCCCTCTTTCGTTATTGTCCCCAGTTTAACTGCCAGGGGATGACCTGTCGTTCGGTAATGCTCCACAGCGTGATCGTTGCCACCCGTGCCATCGTAGAACTTTCGGCCGCAGAGGATCGACCCGTCGGTGAGGTTCAACCAAAGATTCTGTGTCAAATCACATCTCTCACACTTCCAGCCACTCGGTGGAATTTTCTTTCCATTATCCAGCTGTAGGAGATTTGCTGCATGCTTGGAGATGACTTTGGCCTCTCCATCCCAGGTACCAGCGAGTGCCTCCCTCTCGGCGACTTTCATCGCAGATTCACCCTGGAGCACACCAATTATCGAGTTCTTCACGTGCTCTGGTAAATCGTTATTTGGGTAATCAACAACAGCGAACTTTGGCATAACGATTATTTGGTACGTGTCCTCGTACGTGAACTTCTGCTCGTCGGGGACAAAACCCCCTGGGGTACCGATCGCCAACCTGGTGATCTTCTTGGCAGGACCGTCCCCACCCTGATCCACAATTGCCTGTTTAGTCCTCCTGATGTTGAAGAAAACATTCTGACCGGTTTTTTTGGAGTACCTCTCCAGATGATCCCTTCCAAGGCCATGAAAAGAGGACAAACTGATGTATAAACCCTCAGGAGACTCCGGAGTGTCGAAGGAGTATACGCACTCGTCCTTGTATATTTTATCCTCTCGTTTCGGTACTTTAACCGATCCTAAATTCTGAATTAGATCCTCCATGACTCTCCAGCTCTCAGGATTTGTTTTCTATTTACAAGACTTCAAAAAACTACATGTAATGATGCAACCATAACCCCAACGGTGTCAAAAACCCCCAGGAGTGCAGGATTAATTGAATAAATAACGCAGGAGTTGATGGGAGTGATTTATTTAATTAGGTGGAAGGAAATGTTCGGGGGAGCAGGAGCTAATTAAAACACTAATTGTCACTAATTTCGAGGATTTATCTTTTCACGAAGGGGATGACCACCGGGAAGCAAAATACAATTATTAGCCGACTTCAAGGGATTCCAGGAAGATGAGGAGAAACTCATGAGAACTCGGTTTCAAGATTTTGAAGATTGCCATCAAACAATCGAAAATATCTCGTCATATATATTATTTTCAATATATTTGTAATATTTTTCAATGATATCTCCAAAAAAAACTTGGATAAAAAAATGATTTGACCGTTCCCTCCAAAAAAATCGTCGCTCCACCGTTTCAGCCGCCATATTGGGATCTCTTCGTGACGTAATAGGATCCATTTCTCGCGTGAGTCTCTACCGGCATCATCTCCAGAGAAAATCTCAAAAACCTTATCAATTAATAAATAAAAGCCATAAAAAACATGAGTGGAATCGTGAGGAATGCCCTGCGCATTGTTGGAGTGAAAAGTCTCGTGTCGTCAACATCATCCTCTCGAGTTATCACTCCACAATTGTCTCGATGCCTCTGGCACATGTCTAACCGATCACAAAGTGAAAATTCTGGCCTCAAACTGCTGAAATCCTTCGAGACCTGCAGCTGTGGCTGTGGAAGGGCCCAACACACCAAGGGTAAATGATCTTAATATTTTCTAAGATGAACATCTCCTCGGGAAATCGATCTGGGAGGGTGTGTCTATCCCTGGCCACGTGCTCTGGGTCTTTCATGATTTTTTTTTTACCCCTGGATCGTAATTTTTAGCTGAGAAGGAACTGGTGGAGTTCTTGGCCGAGGAAATCGTGGCTGAGAAGAAGGCGCAGAAGCTCAAGACTATTCCAACGCAAGTCGATGGGTTCTCCGTGTCTCTTGATGGTGCTAATGTTACATTGGTGAAGAAACAGGGAGACGAAACGTGAGTTTTTGGGGTTGGGTTGGGGAATCACGGGATTTTCCCAGGAGGGGACTTCCCCGAGGGGTTTCCCCAGGGGAAAAATTCCCAGGTGATTTTCCCCAGGGGAAAAATTCCCAGGTGATTTTTCCCAGGGGAAAAATTTCATGCTCTTCCCCAGGAAGAAAATTCCCAGGCGATTTTCCCCAGGAGGGGACTTCCCCGAGAGTTTTCCCCCTGGGGAAGAAATTCCCCGGAATTTTTCCCCGGGGAAAAATTCTCCTAGAGCTTCTCCCCACCGAAACAATTTTCATTATATTTTCAATGAATGAAAATATTGAAATAATAATTATTTCCAGAATCACAATTGCATTCAACGTGAATCACACAGTGGACAGCGACAACGAGCCAGAGATCGATGCAAATGACGATAAACCAGATCTGGGTGAGATGAGGAGTAAGCCCAACTTCTCTGTGGACATTGAGAGGGGAAAACAGACCCTCGGGTTCTCCTGTTCTTTTAATAATGAACCTGGAGCATCCGGAGCTGACGAGAGTTACAGTAAGGGCTTTAGAAAAAAAAAATCAAGAACCGCACACCATTTTTTATTCTCAATCTCCCCAATCTACGATTAATTAATTAATCAAGTGAATTAATCGATGCAATTTATTCTCGTAGATGACTGCTTCGGTATCGACGAGATCACCCTCTACGAGGGCGAGCACAATGACAAGGTGTATGCAGTAGCTGGTGAAGTGATCGATGGAGTGAGTAAAACAAATATTTTCTCCATAAATTTTATTCATTAATTCCATTGGGATAATTAAAAAAAAATAATCAATACTTGTGACAGTACTTGTACGATCTTCTCATGAACTATCTGGAGGAGAAGGGTATCTCAAACGAATTCGCCGAGAAATTGGTCGACCTGAGCACGAATTACGAACACAGTGCGTACATTAGTTTACTCGAGGGACTCTCCAAGTTCACATCTGGAAAGTGAATCTACATTCTTTATATTCCATAAAATGTTCCAAGTAATTGTTTATTATCTGTAAAATACACCTACTGAGAATAAATGAAAAAAATCTGGACGAGCGCTATCGATTCAATGGAATTAATAGTACCGATGGTACCATTAATTCTGTACAAAAAAAAAAAAACCTATCGTGGTATTTGGGACATGCCCCAGGGGAAAAACTCCTCGAGAACTTCTCCCGGAAACGAAGTCCCTGAATATTTTTCCCAGGGGAAAATTCTTAGAGGGGATTCCCCCTGGGGAAACTGGGAATTTTTCCCCTCGAATGAGATACCTGAGTTTTCCCCCGAGGAAAATTTCCCCAGGACTTTTCCCACTGAATAAATTCCCCCACAGATATCCTCCAGAGGAAAAGCCGCAAATATAATTTTTCTCCAGGGGAAAAATTTCCCCTCAGACGAACTTTCAAGCAGTGAATTTATTATGCAGCCTGTGCTCCTTTAAGCAGGGCATGGAGCAAAACCTATTGGAATTATATTCAAAGGGCACCTTCCCAGACATATCAGCAGCGCACTGGAAGCACCTGGCAACGACAACCCCATTCTCCTTGATGATCCTCTGCTCAGCAGCCAGTGCTCTTTTCTCCCTGTCGGACAGATTGAGAAATCTCTGCTTGGACTTCTCTTCCTCCTTCTTCATCTCGAACTCCCTCTTCTTGGCCCTCTCCTTCTCCCTCTTGGTCTTCCTCAGCATCCTCTTCTTGTTCATCTCCTCGGCTTCGATCTCCTCAGTAAGAGGTGCAGGTATCTGTGACTTATGATAATCAAATTTATCAGGATTCGCAGCCATAAATCTCCGAAAAGTATTCCTCGTCTCTTTATTCTTACTCGAAGCATATGGGGTCTGATATCTTTTGTTTTTCGCACAGGGATTTGCCCCCATCTCCATGAGAATCCAAATGACCTCCAGGTGCCCCGTGATGGCAGCTATATGCAGGAGGGTATTTCCCTCGTCATCTCCCTTGTTGATTACCTCCAGGAGTTCACACATCTTCAAAGAGGTTTCATTATTCTCTTTCTCCCCAGGTTCTCCACCCCCAGGTGGCCACACCCCATTCTCCCACCTCTTGACCTCCCCCAGGAGTATCCCCCAGGTCTCTTTCAGCAACTCCACATTTCCCATCCTGCATGCAGTCCACAGCTTCACCACCGACTCCTGGAGCACTCGATTGACAACTCTCTCAGGTTTTTCCTTCTTCACCTTCGTTCTCCGCTTCTTCATCTTCTTCTGCCTGGTGCGCCTGGGAGTGGTGTCCTCGAAGGCCAGTAGATTCTCCTTAAAATCAATTCCACAGAGGTGTTCCAGCACCTGGAGGAGCACGTCGTCCTCAGACTCGGTAGAAGAGGACAGCGCCCACATCATGTCAATATCAGGCCGTGACCTAGTAGGGCTTTTTCGTGACTTCGCTCTATCCATCTGACAGATGGGGCTCTTCTGCCTCTCCCCTGATGATTTACTCCTGATTTCGACCTCCTCCGGGGATGACGCGTGTTCCCCGACTTTCTCCTCAGGTTTCTGCTCTGGAATTTCACCCAGAAGATCGACTCGAGGAATTTTCCTGCGAATTGGCTGTCTCGGGGAGATGGGAAATGTGTCAGTGAAGTCAGAGGCAGAACCATAAATTTCGACTGTCGTCAGGATGTCGTAGACCCTCTGGACTTCGCTGAATGTCGCTCGTCTCGTGGGAAATGGCAGGGGACGGAGTCTCGGATCGGTTTTATCGAGGGGAGGGCTCTTACCGCCGAAGAGGACGGTACGATTTTGAGGACCCACTGCCCTGTACAGGATCAGGGATGAGCTGGTGATGTGGCTGCTCCAGGAGTCCAGGATCTCCTGGACGTGCTGCACCAGAAGGGACTCGTTGTAACGACGAAGACTGGCACCAGCACTCTTTTGGTAGCCAGCACCTCGGTTGTCCCTTTGGGACTGGCTTGACCCCTGCTTAGCTCGGACTGTGTACGTGTGGAAGGTTTTGTGGACCAGTGCCTCGCCATTCTGGAAAACTCCTGCTGCGAAGTGACCACCACCCACCATTATCACTGTCCAGGTTGTTTTCTTACCGCTGTTCAATGCCTGGGTGATCATCTCGTCGTTTGACGAGGGAATTGATTTCTTCGAGTGCAGGAGGCAACGGTAAATACTGAAAATGTTACCTGGGGAACAGAAAATTTATGACTGTTGTTTAAATTGGAAAATTTCTTGCGTATTTGGATAAACAATTTTATTCCTGCAATCACCTTCGGAGTTCTCGAAGAAGACCTTCGAGTGTCGACTGGCAGTAGCGGTGAGGGCGTCATGCTTCCGCCTCTCGGCAGCCTCCGATGTCTCGTCTGTCTCGGAATCGGAGGAGACACAAGCAATCATGAGCTTGCGATCGAGCCTTTTAGCTCGCGAGCTACTGCTTGGCGAGCACTTGGAATCGTCCAGAGCTCTCGGAGTCGTCGTGTCCGTGGAGTTCGTCTCAGAGCCATTCTCCGGGTCGGACTCGGAGCCCGAGAGGCTCGAGACGTCATCTGCGAAGAGTATTGAAAAGCAGAACGAAATTATGGGGTAAGAGCATCAGATCATCTAGCAGTGATGGACTTCCTGGGGCTTCGATGGATCAGAAGCTCTCGGTATTCTCCAGGATTAATCCCCAGGAAGTCCAAGTAGTTCAAACCACTGCCAAACCTTCATCAGCAAGAATATCAAACTGATCTTCAGTTATCGACTTGGATCCTCGGAGTCGTTGCTTCAGGTTGTATCTGTGCCAGTCCAGCTTGTAGTGGCACCTCTGCTCCGCCTGATCCTCAAACGTTTTATTGCAGAACGAACAGCTCAGGGAATCAGACACAGTCAAGTCCTCCAGCTGAGAAAATATTGTTTCCGGATCCGGAACTGAAATAAATCTTTCTCCATTACAAATCTATTCTATTTTATTTCCATCTTTATTCTAAAAATGCAGGGATTATTATGTTGATTAAAAATAAATTAATGAAATGTTAAAAACGTACGGCTCCAGTGAACGTCAAGGTCAGATCCACCAGAAAAAACATAATCATTCTAACGAACGCTTGCATGACGTAATTATGACAAAATCATTCCCAGAAAATGGAGGAAAAACTCAGCAAATTCGACGGACAATTGCCCAATATTGCTCAATAATTTTACTCCCTCAAAGTAATTACTCTTTTCAATTATCGATATAATTACTCACCTATCGATGACTTCAGTCTCATGCATTTGGCGACTTTAATCCCTTTTGTAATACTATCGAAGTCCTTTTGATTATAAATTTTAAACAATCGACTATCCATCCTGGAGGTCTCGTTTACTTAATTATGCCTTATAATTATTATTATTTCCACTAGATTATAAAAAATTGGGAGGATGTTACGAAAATGTCTGATTATTTGGTGGATTTTTGGCTAGAGACAAGTGTCGGGAGGTTATTGTGAAAGAGAGGTTTTGGATTATATCGGTTGAGGGCGCGAAAATCCATTGGAACGAGCGGGAAAATAAATTAATTTCAACTTCAAATTGAATTTTCAATCTTTTATTCATTACACGATTAATTACCTTCCTCTCAAGAATGATAATTGTTTTATGATAATGATAAAAAAAGATAAAATCAACCCCAACGAAATTAAATTAATTCCTACCGAAATCCAATGAGAAAAAAAATGGATTAAATCCATTCGAGGAATAATTGAGAAATAAAAAATATGAATTGAATGTTAAAGTTTTATTATTGGTTTATTGAATTGTTTTTACTATACAGTTTTCAAGCTTGAATATTCTTCATGTATTTTTTGGGACTAATAACGTTAATTACCCTTGAATAATTAATTTACGTTCCGATGTAACGGAAATACCTGGCGGCGCTATCATAAGGATTCCCGTGAATCGCGTATTCGTGGAAAGTAGGGGTAATAAATTCAGTTGGATCCATATTCTCGTAGATTGGTTCTCCAAAATAAGTACCCACCACCCATCCAGGGTAATCCTTCATTAATTCGCGTTCCTCTTCGCGATTGGCTCTCATTTGCTTCAGAAATCTGAAAAAAAAATAAAAACTCCGTGACTCCCCGCGAATTATCTCAGCAGCAAAGGGAGTAATCAAGGAAATGTCACTTGACATTTTTTAATAGAGTGGATTATGAGATAAAAATTGGGAATGGACATACGCCCTGTCCCTCTCAGCCATGAGCATGCAATAGACGACGTTCCTGGCACTGTGCATCTCAATTCTTTCCCTTCTGATATCCTTATAACCCCAGAAGAACCCCGCACATCCAAAACTGATGGAAGCAACTGTCAAAGCAGTTGCAATATTAGCTGGAAAAAAATAAATAAAATAATTACGCAATAACAATAAAAATATCATCCACCCTACAACCACCCCCGAATAATAAAAAATCAAGTGCCGACAAATAGATTAGGTTATAATCACGTAACAGTTTAAAAAAAAAATACTTACGAGAGATAATTCTCCGGATATTGACCCTTGCAGTCTGCATGGGACTATACCCCCCCTTGGGGGGCATATCCTGGGGCCCAGACTTGGGTTTTGATGCCATAATCCAATATAAATTCAATAAGCCCCAATTAATTCCACATATTTTTTATAAACCCTCTCCGAAACCTCAAGAGGATTGACTGAAGTAGAGGCTCAGCTCTGGGGGTTGGAGCGACCCCAGCGGCATCGTAGTACTGCACCCCAAGAGAGGGAGGGCGCTAGGTGCAATGTTTTTGAATGCTTCTTTTGTTTTTTATTTGTTTAACTGGAATTTAGCCTACTGTTGAACGAGGGGTAGGGGGAAGCCACATTTTGTGGAATTTCGAATGAAAAAATATTTCAATATGTTGAAGATATACTACTAATTAAATTATATACTCAGAATGAGCGCGTTGTCTTAATGGTAACGTGCTTGCCTACCACGCCAATGGCCCGGGTTCGATCCCGGCATCATTCATTTTTTTTTTCATTTAAATAATTCCAATTTTTTTTTTGTTAATGGCAAATCAAT